CTGTGTGGGGACAGACGTGTCCCTCAGGGTGGCTGGGTGTCCCCCCTGACCCCTGCCTGTGCTGGGGGTGTGACTGTGTGGGGACAGACGTGTCCCCCTCAGGGTTCTGGGTGTCCTCCCAGAGTGCTGAGAGTCCCCCCAAGGTTCTGGGTGTCCCCCCTGACCCCTGTCTGTGCTGGGATTGTGGCTGTGTGAGGACAGACATGTCCCTCAGGGTTCTGGGTGTCCCCCCTGACCCCTGCCTGCAATGGGGTTGTGGCTGTGTGAGGACAGACATGTCCCTCAGGGTTCTGGGTGTCCCCCCTGACCCCTGCCTGCACTGGGGTTGTGGCTGTGTGAGGACAAACGTGTCCCCCCTGACCCCTGCCTGCCTTTTCCACAGCTGCTGGAGGGAAACTTTGCCCTCTTCTGCACCTACACCCTGGGCTTCCGCAATGAGTTCCAGAACATTCTCCTGGCCATCATGGTGGGTGCGGCCCTGTCCCGCAGCCCGTGGGGGCTGGGCTGTGGGGGGCTCCAGTGGGTGCTCCCGGGGGGCTGGCATGGGCCGGGGGCAGGGACAGGGACACGGGGACAGTGGTCAGAGGTCCCCTGGGACGAGGGGAGGGAGAAGAAGCTGCCAAGTGTCCTGCAGAGGCTGCGGGGTTGGCAGGAACAGCGGGGCCTTTGTTCCTGCGTGAAGCAGGCCACAGATGGGGGACACCAGGAGCCGTGGGGGCCTTTTGTCCAAGCCCTGCCTCTTGTCTCCCTCTCCTCCCCTCTTTGAGAGAAGGATCTCAGTGTTTCCTGCCAGGAACACGGAGCAAACAGCTCCCTGAGAGCTCTTTGCAGCTCTCCTTGTTCCTGGAAGCGCTTCCCACCCTCTCCTCAGCCGGAGGAAAGGCCCGAGGTGCCATGGTGCCCGCAGAGCCTGGCTGCTGCCAGGGCTGGGGACAAGATCAGGTCCCCTCCCAGCACTGAGGACTGAGTCAGATCCTCCCTCTGTCGGGGCAGGTGTGGGGCCAGGGCTCTGCTCCGGGGGAGGAGGTGGCCCCACACGCCACGTGTGGCTTTGTGCCAGCCCCGGAGCGTGTGGCAATCCCAGGTGCTGGAGCAGGGCTGGGAGGAGGCCGTGCCAGGAGCTGGGGAGGGCCTTGCCAGCAAAGAGCCACCAGCATGACCCTTCTGTCCCCACAGCTGTCGGCCACCTTGACCATTCCCTTCTGGCAGTGGTTCCTGACCCGTTTTGGGAAGAAGACGGCTGTCTACGTGGGCATCTCAGTGAGTGTCCCCTCAGCTGTGGGGTGCACGTGTGCAGGGGATGGTCCTTACATGTGGCATGAGCAGAGCTCCCCCAAAAGAGCACAGAGCTGGGCAGGGGCTGCTGCTAATGACAATTTGGTGCCTGTCCTCATGTTGTTTTTGCTGTCCTGGGTGTATCGTGGGGCTCAGGGAGGGACACTGCACCTCTGGCTCCCTGGATATGGGGAGGGGGGAAAAGCCAGGGGGTCTGGGCCAGGCCCTGCGGATGCCAACCTGATCTCTGCCCCCGCTGCAGTCTGCCATCCCCTTCCTCATCGTCGTGGTTGTCCTGGACAGTAACCTCTTTGTCACCTACGTGGTGGCCGTCGCCGCCGGCATCAGCGTGGCAGCCGCCTTCCTCCTGCCCTGGTGAGTGTGAGGAGCTTCCAGAGCCTTAAAAACCCTCAGAAGGGGTTTTTTTTTTGCCATGTTTGCAGCCCCAGGTGGGGCTCCTGAGGGAAATGCCCTCAGCAGAGGGGAGGTGGCTTTGTTGTGCCAGCCCTGGTGGTCACCATCCCTCTCTCTGCACAGGTCCATGCTGCCAGATGTCATCGATGACTTCAAGCTGCAGCACCCCAGCTCCCGTGGCCACGAGGCCATCTTCTTCTCCTTCTATGTCTTCTTCACCAAGTTCACTGCTGGGGTCTCCCTGGGCATCTCCACACTCAGCCTGGAGTGAGTTCCTGCCTGGGAGCTGAGGGGGGACAGGGAGGGAGGCACTTGCCAGCCTCTGGGAGGGGATTGATGAGCTCTAAATGCAGCTGTTGCCCCAAAGCTCTCCCCACAGGGAGCAGGGAGCCCCTGCACGCCCCATTCCCTCTGTCTGAAGGTGCCTTTCTGCCCTCAGCTTCGCAGGGTACCAGACCCGGGGCTGCTCCCAGCCTGGCCAGGTGAACTTCACCCTGAAGATGTTGGTGTCTGCTGTGCCCGTGGGGCTGATCCTGCTGAGCCTGCTGCTGTTCAAGCTCTACCCCATCGACGAGGAGAAGAGGAGCAAAAACAAGAAAGCCCTGCAGGATTTAAGGTGAGCGTCAGGCAGCAAGCACGGCCTGTGGGGGGGTGTGTGTGTGGGGGCAGGATCAGACGGGTTGGGACACACTGGGGCTTGTCCAGGAATCCTCCAGGACCCGTGGGCGGTGGCACGAGGGAAGGGCTGACTTGTTTTTCCCAATCCCAGCTTCCAAAGGGATGGTGTGAAGTGTTGGGAGATCAGCAGGAACCCGCCCCAGCTGCCTGGGAGGTGCTGACATCCCTCTGGAAGCTCCTGCTCCCCGAGGCAGATCTTACTGGGCTGCAGACCTTGCTCCTGTGGGTTAATCCGTGCTTCATTCCCAACTCTTTTCCCTCAGGGAGGAGAGCAACAGCAGCTCGGAGTCGGACAACACAGAGCTGGCCAGCATCGTGTGACCCAGGCTGGGTGTGCTGCTCACACTGGGGGTCCCCAGGGGCTCGTCCCCTCCGGGCTGGCCCAGCCTGGTGGCCCTGGAGGTGCTGGAGGAGCCGTGAGGAGCATCCACTGCCTCCAACTCGGGATCTGTGCGCGTCCTGTGCCTTGCACGGGGCCCACACAGCGCTGGTAGTGTACATTACACACGTGGTGCTGCCTCTCCAGGGACCAGCACTCTCCCTGCCGGGCTCTGGAGGGCAGGGGAGCCTGGACTGGCATGGTTTAGCCTGGATCAGCCGTGCCCAGTGCCCTGCCTGGGGTTGATTGTTAGTGTACATTACACTGTCAGTGTGCCCGCGCCCAGGACGTGAGCTCACCTCTGCTGTCTCTACAGAGGGCACTAATGTGGGACCTGTGCTTTTTTTACACAGCCTAATTAACTTAATGATGTAAATATGGAGCTGTTTCCTGTTTGTATATATCTGTACAGAACCCAAACCCAGGAGCTGTTAATATTAATTTACATAAAAGTGGGGGAAGTCGGCAGCGCGTGTGAAGAATTTCTTTTTTCACTCATCTGGGGTTTTTCACGGCTGTCAGCAAGCCCTGGCTCCCTTTAGACACCACGGGGTGCAGGATTGACTTTTCCTGAGCCGTGGTGCAGGAATGCCATAATCCAGGCAGGAGCTGTGCTCAGCCCCTTGCCCCCGTGCAGCTCCTTCACCCAACAAAGGCTCCATTATTTCCTCCTTTTCAAGAGGGGGGTGGAGGGAGGAATGAAATCAAAGTGCTGCCAGCAGGGATGGTGAACTCCAGGCTGGAAACAGGAGAGGCAGCTGGGGAGCGGAGAGGAAGGGAATGTGGGCTGTGGGTGACACTCAACACGGGCTGAGTGCTGGGGAGCACTAATCCCTGGATATTTATATCCATTCCCTGCTCCCACAGCAGCACGGGGCAGAGCCCTGCCCTCCCCAGCACCTCCAGCAGCAAGTGCAACTGGAGAAAAAGGGGCTGGGAGCAGCCACATCCATGGCTGGGGTGAATTCCCAGCCTGTGCTGGCTCTGCTCTGTCCCCAAGGGGACAGGGGACAGGCCTGCTGCCTTTTGTTGAGCACATTGGTCACACCGAGAAGCTGCTGGGGCCAGGGCTGAGCTGAGGGTTTGGGGGGAAGGATGTGGCTCATCCTTTGGGTACAAAGGACAGGAATGAGGATGGGGTTTAAAAATAGCCAGAGGGATCAGCTGGGAATGCTCCTGTGGCAGAGGGATGGGGATGAGGGACGGGGATGAAGGATGGGGGCTGGTTTTGTGCTCAGCAGGGCCCCAGGGCTGGGTCTGGGGAGCTCCCTAGGGCAGGACAGCAGGGGGACAAAGCCAGCTCTCTGCAGCCCCCGTGGTGGGGCAGGAGGGGGTCAGGAGCATCCTCTGCAAGAGGAGGAGGAGGAAAGCTCCAGCCAAGAGAGCTCAGGGTTGGGGATGTTCTGAGCCCTGCACTGCTCCTGGCCAGGAGTTGCCCCAGCCATGGCCATGACCTGGCTGCTCTCAGGGGTGTGGGCAGTGCTGCTGCTCCACGGCTTTCAAAGATTGCTGCGAGCCTTTGTTTTTTTCTCAAAGAGTTCCAGCAGAAATAAGGGACACTTTATTCTTTGCCTCCTTGTTTTTTTGGCTCCGTGGAGTTCACGAGGAGGAGTCTCTGGGTTTTTTGCAGCCAGCCCAAGAGAATAAAACCATCCAGAGGAGCTTGAACTGGGCTCTGGATATTCCTCACTAAGCATGCCTCCTCTGTTGGAGGCTCTGAAGAAAATGAGATGTGTGGGGGGAAAGTGACCATGAGAGCTGATAACACCCGAGCCCTGGGCAGAGCTCCAGCCTGGGAGCAGGGCTTGTGCTCCACTTTGGTTACAGAGGGTTCCACTCCAAACGTGCAGAAGAAATGGGTGGGAAAAAAAACCCACAGGGAGGTGTTGCCTGCACCTACAGCTGTGCTCTGGTTTGATCCACACACGCCTTGGCCCTGGAGAAAATGCAGCAGAAGGCTGGGAAGCACCTCCCTGCAGAGCTGGGGTGGCAGGGCTGCCACGTCCTCGGGGTGAGGGGCAGGGAAGCAGAGGCAGGAGGTGGAAAAGGCATTTCCAGCTGTGTGCCCAGCCCTGCCCAGCTGTGTGAACAGCCCTAGCTCCCAGCTGAGGGGTCCCCCAGGCTCCTGGGCCAGCCCTGGCCTGGGCAGGAGGGGAGCAGAGGGGTTCTGGTCTGCTCTGGGGACCAGAGGACTCCCCTGCCCAGCTGTGTGAACAGCCCTGGCTCCCAGCTGAGGGGTCCCCCAGGCGCCTGGGCAGGAGGGGAGCAGAGGGGTTCTGGTCTGCTCTGGGGACCAGAGGACTGCAAAGGGGACAAAGTTAAACAGAAAGCAGCACATGAACCTGCAGAGCTCCATCCTCTGGCTCCAAGGGGCAGGACCTCAGTGGCTCAGGCAGGAGTGACAGTTCCAGAGGTGACAGTCTATTACCCTGCAGGGGAAAAGTGGAAATGTGGAGTCAGAATAAACCCCCTCTTTACCTGCGGGGAAAGGGCAAAAAGCCTCAGGTTTATCTGGCAGCAGGGTTTGTGAAACATGCCAGGGGTGAGGATGGATTTCCCTGGGCTGGAAGGCTCCAGGAGCAGCAGGAACGGCCCAGGGCTGGCTCCAAACACCTCGAGCTGAGCCAAGCACGGGTTCCCACAGGCAGGGTGTCACCCAGAGTCCCCAGGGGGGCTCAGGGGACAGATCCAGCTGGAAACCAGCTCAGCCTGGGAAGGAGCAGCAGGAATGCTGGAGCAGGGCTGTGCTGGGGACCAGCGCTGGGCTCTGTCACCACCTGGGGACAGCAGAGCTCACCCAGGCCAGCTGTGCACCACGGGTGTCGCTGCTGTCCCCAGGGCTCACCCTGTCTGTGCCACCAGGCTGAGGTCACTCCAGTCGTCTGCAAACACAGGCTGACGTGTTTTGGTGGGCTTGGGTTAATGTTTTGCAAGAGCTGCTGTTCCCAAGTTTGTTAGCAGCCCCAGGGCTGCTGCACATGGACAGAAACGATGGGGCAGTGACGTGATTTCCTGCTGAAAAAACCCAAAAAACAAAAACAAAACCACCATAAATGCATTTTCCCAGGGCTGGGAAAGTGAAGCTGGGCTGCAGTGCCCCCCTCACCCCACCACGAGGGACAAGTGCTCTCCTGTGGCTGCAAAACCCCAAAGGCTGCTGTCAGAGACAAAACAGGGCTGAAACATGGAGCAAATATTGGTGTGGTGCTGGGAGAAAAGAATGCAGAATGGGAAATAGGGATGCAGAATGGGAAAATAAGAGTGCAGAATGGGAAAAAAGAATGCAGAATGGGAAGTCAGCCCCCGCCAGCACCTCCTTTGCATGAGGCCAGTGCTCCGTGTTTTCCCAGCCCCCACCAGTGCCTCCTTTGCATGAGGCCAGTGCTCCGTGTTTTCCAGCACCCTAAAGGTGGCTGTGGGGAAGGAGCAGCCGGGTCCTGCCTCGGGGAATCCGGGTGGGCAGCAGCCGTGGGGAGAGGAAGGAGAAACCCCAGGGAAGGGGGAGAAGAACAAAAATTAACCTGAGAATGGGAATGAGGAGAGGGGGCTGGCCCTGCCCTGCCCAGAGGGGTTTGCCCCTGGGCTGGGTCAGCTGGGCTGTACGAGGCTCCTGGAGGGATAAAAATCCCGTTCCTGGAGGGATAAAAATCCCGTTCCTGGCACACACAGGAGCGGTGGGAGCAGTGACCTGGCCTGCTCCATCCCTGCATTCCCATTCCCCATTCCGCATTCCCATTTCCCATTCCACATTCCCATTTCCCATTCCTCATTCCCATTTCCCATCCCCATTTCCCATTCCACATTCCCATTTCCCATTCCACATTCCCATTTCCCATTCCCATTTCCCATTCCTCATTCCCATTTCCATTCTGCATTCCCATTTCTCATTCCCATTTCCCATTCCACATTCCCATTCCCATTTCCCATTCCTCATTCCCATTTCCCATTCCTCATTCCCATTTCCATTCTGCATTCCCATTTCTCATTCCCATTCCCCATTCCCATTTCCCATCCCCATTTCCCATTCCACATTCCCATTCCCCATTCCCATTCCCATTCCTCATTCCCATTTCCCATTTCCCATTCCCATTCCCATTTCCATCCTGCATCGCGGCCGATGCTGCCGGGACGGGGCGCGGGGCACAGCGGGTGCGGGCAGGGCACAGAAGGAGCCGAGAAAAGCGGCGAGGAGCCCGGGTGAGCCCGGGAGCTGCGGGCAGCGGGGCTGCCGGGAGGCAGCACAGCCTCACCGGGTGGCACCGGAGCCTCACCGGGAGCGGCACAGCATCACCGGGTGGCACCGGAGCCTCGCCGGGAGGCAGCACAGCATCACCGGGTGGCACCAGAGCCTCACCGGGAGCGGCACAGCATCACCGGAGCCTCACCGGGATTCGGCACAGCCTCCCCGGGTGGCACCGGAGCCTCGCCGGTGGCGGCTCAGCCTCGCTAGGTGTCAGCAGAGCCCCGCCGCCGCTCCCGGCGAGCCGTGACCATCTTTGGTAGCGCAGCCGGGCAGGAAGCGGCGGCCGGGGCTGCTCCTCCTCCTCCTCCTCCTCCTCCTCGCCAGCCTGACAACGTGTCCCTGCCCTGCCCGGACACTGTCCCGTTCCTGCCCGGGACAGAACCTTTCTCCCACCCGCCTCAGAGGGGTCCCGACCCCAGCCCCGCGCTTGCCCCCAGCTTTTGGGGGTCCCGTTGATCCCTCCCAGCCCCCGCCCCCAACCAAACCCCGCCGCTGCAGGACGGGGACGGACCCCTCCCCAAGGGGGTCTCCTCCCCCCTAAACCCCCCCCGGCGGCATCTCCAGACCCCAGCCTCCAGCCTTGCCCCTCTCCCAGAGCACCCTCACTCCTTTTGGGGGGTCCCAAGCCCCCTGAGGACCCCCGTACCCCAACAGCCCACCCCGGGGGTCCCAGACCCGCCCCCCTCAGCCCCTCTGGGTGACCCCACGGGGGTCCCGAGCCCCCCCAGCCCCTCGGGGGGTCCCAGATGAGGGTCCCAGACCCCCCCCCAGCCCCTGGTGAGCGGTACCGGCACCGGGCACGGCGGGGCTGAGGGTGGGCGTGAGCGGCACCGGCGGCGGCACCGGGCACGGCCCGGGCTGGCGGTCTGAGGGTGGGCGTGAGCGGCGCCGGTACCGGGCACGGCGGGGCTGAGGGTGTGAGGGTGAACGGCGCCGGTACCGGCACCGGGCACGGCCGGGGCTGGGGATTGAGGGTGAGCGGCACCGGTACCGGGACACGGGCAGATCTGCGGGCGGTACTGGCCAGAGTGAGCGGGCACCGGCATCGGCACCGGGAGCATCACCGGGAGCAGCACCGGGAGCGGCACCGGGCACCGGGAGCAGCACCGGGAACGGCACCGGGAGCAGCACCGGGAGCAGCACCGGCGAGGCCAGACCGGGGCCGCAGCACCGCGCGGGCCCTGGGGGGTCCCGGGGTGCGGGAGAAGCCCCGGCCCGGTCGAGGCCGGACCCCCCCGGGCGGCGCTTTGGGGTGAATTCGGCACGGATCGGTGCAGACGCCCCCGCGGGCAGGGCCCGGTGCCCGGGGCTGCTCCGGTGCCCGGGGCTGCTCCGCTCAGCGGCCGGGCAGGCGGGGCTGGCCCGGCTCTCCCCGCGGCCCGGCTTCCCCTGCTCCCAGCCTGTTGCTGGTTCCTCCCCGCGGGTGCCTGGGCCGGGGGAAATGCGCGATTCCCTCGGGTTCCGAGGGGGAAGCCACAATTACCGGGCTGTCCGCACACCCCGGCCCCTGCAGAGCCCCGGGGAGCCCGGGCACGGCTGCGTGTGCCCGCTCCCTGCCAGCCTGGCACGCTGCTGAGCTCTCTGGAAGCCAAAAACGCCCCCGGCTGTTCCTGCGGGGAGTTCCGGCAGGCGGCCGTGCTGGAGAGGCACGGGAGGGATGCAGAGCAGCCCCCAGCTCGGAATTCCTGCTCTGGCCCTGCTGGATCCAGCACGGGAGGGATGCAGAGCAGCCCCCAGCTCGGAATTCCTGCCCTGCTGCATCCAGGCCGGCTCGGAGCCGCCACGGGAGGGATGCAGAGCAACCCCCTGCTCGGAATTCCTGCCCTGCTGCATCCAGCCCAGCTCGGAGCTGGCACGGGAGGGATGCAGGGCAACCCCCAGCTCGGAATTCCTGCTGTGGCCCTGCTGGATCCCGCCAGGGAGGGATGCAGAGCAACCCCCAGCTCGGAATTCCTGCTCTGGCCCTGCTGCATCCAGGCCGGCATGGGAGGGATGCAGAGCAATCCCCCCTGCTCAGAATTCCTGCTCTGGCTGTGCTGTATCCAGCACGGGAGGGATGCTGAGAAACCCCCCTGTTCAGAATTCCTGCTCTGCTGCATCCAGCCCTGCTGTATCTGGCATGGGAGGGATGCAGAGCAACCCCCTGCTCGGAATTCCTGCTCTGCGGCATCCAGCCCTGCTGTATCTGGCATGGGAGGGATGCAGAGCAACCCCCTGCTCGGAATTCCTGCTCTGCGGCATCCAGCCCTGCTGTATCTGGCATGGGAGGGATGCAGAGCAACCCCCTGCTCGGAATTCCTGCTCTGCGGCATCCAGCCCTGCTGTATCTGGCATGGGAGGGATGCAGAGCAACCCCCTGCTCGGAATTCCTGCTCTGGCCCTGCTGGATCCAGCACAGGAGGGATGCTGAGAAACCCCCTGCTCGGAATTCCTGCTCTGCTGCATCCAGCCCTGCTGTATCTGGCATGGGAGGGATGCAGAGCAATCCCCCCTGCTCAGAATTCCTGCCCTGGCTGTGCTGGATCCAGCACGGGAGGGATGCTGAGCAGCCTCCCCTCTCAGAATTCCTGCTCTGGCTGGGCTGGATCCAGCACGGGAGGGATGCTGAGCAGCCTCCCCTCTCAGAATTCCTGCTCTGGCTGTGCTGGATCCAGCACGGGAGGGATGCTGAGCAGCCTCCCCACTCAGAATTCCTGCTCTGCAGCTCCCTGCTGCATCCAGCCCAGCTCGAGCCCACGTCCTTGGTTACCTCCCTGCTGGATTCATCGCCCTGCCAGGGAAGGGAAGGGAAGTGAGAGGAGTGTGGCAGCTGAGGCTGGCAGGCACAAACCTCCCAATTCACATCATTGTGCTGAAAAAGGAGCCTTTGCTCCAGTGCCAGGCCTTAACCCCCTCTTAACCTGTGAGTAAAACACCAAGGAACATTTTTGATGGCTTCAGGAGGATGTGTTGTATGGGAGAGCTGGAATAGGGGCCAGATTTTTTATTTTTTTTTTTAAAGCACTCTTGGTTTTCTAAATAAAGTGGATCTGAAATAGCAGGAGCAGCCAGCACGGGTTCTGGCGCAGTGTCAGCAAGTATTGTTGGACTGCAAACAGCTGAGATCTCTGTCCTGGCAGCTGCTGGGACCAGCAATAGCTGTCTTGTGTTCATGGCTGCTCCTGACCACCGGCTACATTCAGGCTTTTGACTCCTGCCTTGCTTCAAATCATTCCTGCCTTGAGGAGCTGAACTGTTTAAAAAAGGAAAAAAAATAAAATTCTTTGGGCTTTTGGCAGATATAAACGTTGGAAATCATCCGGTAGCTGCTCCCCTGAGATACTCCAGTGGCAGCTCAGGAATAAACTGTGGTGTGTTCCTAATTTAGTTGTCCCATCTTTATTTCTTGTGCCCGTGGAAACAGGAAGTCTCTGATGCAAACCCGGGCTGTGACAGCAGTGTGGCAGCAGCGTGGGCTGCACTTGCTTTGGCTGTAAAACCAGCATTTGTGTCTTCCAGAACGTCTGAGAAAGGGCCCAGGTTCATGTGCTGTCTCAGGCAGGCGAATAACTTTCATTTTTGGTGTTTTTCTGAGGATTTGCTCGCTCTGAGGCTGCTCCTTGGTGCTCCCCGAGCAGGAAGCTGCTCTTGCTGGGGCGTGCAGGGTTTGGGGTAGCTGATGGTTTGTACCAATAAAATCCCTTCCTTTCATTGCTCTGTCTGTGGCACAGCGTGTCCAGGCTGTGAGGGGAATAAAGGGCAGTTGATAGATGAACAAATGTGCTGTGAAAAGGAATGGCCCCTCTGGCCCGGGGCGAAGCTGCGTGTGCTGCTAATCAAATTGAATTTGAACACGATTTAAACGTGCTGTGTTGTGGTCCTGCGAGGGAGAGCTGCATCTCCAGCCCTGCACAGGCAGCTGGAAAAGTCTCCCTCATCCCTCTGGAGCACAGGGTGATGTGCAGAGCAAAAATGACTCCGGGATGATCTGTAGAACAAAAATAAATTACTCTTGGGTGGTCTGTGTGTCTCATCTTCCTCTTGGGAGAAGGGAAGTGAGATAGGATGATCTGTAGAACAAAAAAAAACCAAAAAAACTCTTGGGTGGTCTGTGTGTCTCATCTTCCTCTTGGGAGAAGGGAAGTGAGATCTGATAGTTTGTACTGAGACCTGTGGAATGGATTTGTCACTTTCTGTGGAATTATTTTGCATCCAAACAGGCAAAACACTCTCTAGGTGCAGTCAGGGCAGGCCCTCTGGGTGGTTGTTTTTATTTTCCTTGCTGAGTGGTAATCTCTGGGTGCCAACCTCTGATTTAGTTACAGCTCAATCTTTTTATTTCCCTCCGTGTGGGCATCCAGGCAGCAGAAATAGCTGCATCCACAGGGCAAAGAGCACAGGGAGGGTGAGCCAAGAGGAGGGGCTGACACCCAGGACTTTGGGTTGCCTGCACTTAGCTCTCATTTTGCTGCCAATTTACCACCTGACTTATCTTTTAAGTTGCCCTAATGCCACCCATTAAAAGGAAATTAAAATGAGTTCACCATCTGCCTGACAGCAGCAGGTTTGCAGAGCTGGAGTGGGGCACTGGGAGCTGATGGCTCAGGAGAAACAAGGCAGGGCTTGTCAGATGGAGAGGGAGGATTCCAGTCCCAAGGAATGCGGAGACTTTGGGACATTAATTAATTAATTAATTAATCCCACCCGGAGCCGAGGGGATGTGCTCCTCCAGCAGCTTCCTTTGCTGCTGGGGGTAGGAAGCACTTTTCCATCTGGATTTTCTGCCCAGTAATCCTGAGCCCAGCTGCAGTTTGCCACTGGGGCTGATCAGATTAGAGCCTGGCCTGGAATGAGCCGGGGATCAGCTCTGCAGAGCAGGGCTCTGTGTGTGCCCTTCCCTGTGGCACAGCCTCCCTGGCAGGTGGCTCTTTGGGAGGATGTGAAAAATGCATATTTTCTGATGAATATTTTCGCAAATATTGAAATGAATATTGGGTGTGTTACGTTAGAAAGTTACGCTGTGTTAGTTGTCCTTAAGTGGTGTGTTAAGTATAGTTTGAGGTTATAACAAAATGTTAAAATAGAAACTATGTGTCTGGGATATTTTTTTGAAGAGAGGAATGAGGTACTCTCACCGAGATAGCAGGCACAGAACACCTAAATCTTTCAGAGAAAGAGAATTTATTGCTCTGTTATCAGCAGAAACCAACTTCTTCCCACTTTGCTCAACCCTGAAGATGCCGTGTTAGGATTAAGGGGAAGAAGTTGGCATTGTCCAGACAGAATCCTTTGTTTGGATGGAATTTATGCATCATGTGTGAGGTGTATGAATGTGCAACAGGCTGTTGTTTTTAAGGGCTAATCCTCTGGTAACCTGTTTCCGGTTTGGGGCTTATTTTACCCAGAAAAGTACCCAGACTCTCCCTAACTCTTTGTTTTTATTGCCTCGTATTGTCCTAATCCAAGCTGTCCACATTTTTATTACTCTAACTACATTGCTATTTTCATAACCATGTTATTACTGTTAACATTCCACCATTTTAAACCACTCGGTGTTTCTCACAGGGGCAGAGCCCACCCTTGGTGGGGGCGCTGGCAGCGGGGCGGCACAGCCAGCCCTGCTCTCCTGCCTGTTCTGTGCTCTCCCTGCAGGGCTCAGCATTCAAAAAGAGAGCTGCTCATTGCTCTGATGGCAGAGGGGCTGCCTCGGAGTTTCAGCTCCTCTGGACTCTTTTTTTAGAGTTTATCTGGAAGCCATCCAGTCGGGTTTGTGTGCGGTGGCCCCGGCTCAGCGGGGACAGAGGAGGAAGGCGCTGCTCTTCCTCCTGGCCCCTCGTGCTGCAAAGGCAGAAAAGGGCTGGGAAAAGGCCTTGTTTGTCTTGTGACATCAGTGCTGGGCTCGTGACTAACGCTGGAGCTGCCCCACATCCTCTGGAAATGAGGTGAAACGTGCACTTGGAAGCAGCAGGGCTGGGAGGGCCTGTGAACAAAAGCAAAACTCCAAACCTCGAGTGGGAACTTGGGGTTTCCTCTCCGAGGGCACCCGTGGCAGCTCAGCTGAGGGAACCCTTGCCTTCCTCTCCAGGGAGTTTTGGGAAGGATCCCCTCCTCCAGGCAGGGGTTTGAGCTCCTGCAGGCTGCAGCAACCCCTTCACAAGGAAGCTGTGTCCAGGCCACCGTGGTGATTCATGCTGTAAAATCTTCTGATGGGTGCTGATAAGATAAAAATGCCCGTGGTGACTTTGCTGCTCCCTCCCTGCATTCCCTGGGCATTACTGTGCCGAGAGCATGACCTGTCTCGTTGCTTGGTGCAAAGCAGTAATTAATGGAAAGTTTATGTGACTTTTAAGACTTTTTCCAGATGACATGCAGCAAATGGTTTGCGTGCCTGGGCCTCTTTCCTGTGTGGTGGCTGCAGAGGAGGCTCTGCAGAGCTGCAGAGGAAGAGCAGGGGCTGTTGTTGCAGAACAGCTCTGCTGCCTCAGCCTGTGCAGCTGCTCCCCTTGGCTGTGCCAGCGTGGCTCAGCCTCTGTGCTGGGGTGATCCTGAGCCCACAGATGCTCCTGGGAGCAGTTCAGGGCTCCAGGAGGTCCTTGCAGGTGCATTTGGAGGTTCAAACCTGGTAGTTTTCACCGTGAGCTCCCAGCAAAGCAGTTGAGCTGTGTGGTCACAGCTGGGACTTTGGCCAGGAGCTGACTGCAGTGAGAACCTGGGCAGACCTTTGTGTCGCTTCGAGGTTAGAAAGTGGAAGTTTTATGTCCTTACACATGTCAGGAGTCCTTCAAATGGAATAGAAACCATTAAGGAGCGAGTGTGGCAACAGCAAGAGGCTGTTGTGTAACCCTGCTGCCTTTGCTAATGTCAGGGTACACTGCTGGCCATCCTCAGGGTGCAGAGCTGGCCAGGAATGGTTCTCCTGGGACTGGTAGAGCTTGTACCAGACAGCCCAAAACCCTCTGTGGCACCTGGGCATGGAGGTAATTGTCTCCTGTCCGTGCAGGTTGTGGACAGCAGCAGACATGGAGAGGCTGGTGGAGCGGCTGGAGAAGGCTGTGGAGCGCCTGGAGAACGTGTGCCAAGGCCCTGGCATGTGTGGAGATGCCTCTGCCAAAGGTGAGAGGCCCAGAGCACCTCCCAGGGCAGTGCCAGAGCCGTGCAGAGCTGGCACGGGGCTGGCTCGGGGGAGCCAGGCTGGAGGGGGCTGCCTGTGGAGACAAAACCTCTGTGGCTGCATCGGGGCAGTGCCAGAGCTGTGCAGAGCTGGCACAGGGCTGGCTCTGGGGGAGCCAGGCTGGAGGGGGCTGCCTGTGGAGACAAAACCTCTGTGGCTGCAGCACTTCCTCAGCCCTGGGCTGTGGGTGGGAGGTGCAGCCAGGGCCGTGGCAGCCTGGGGGGTGCTCCTGGTGATCCCTGTGCTCTGCTTTTCCCACAGGAGTGGCTCAGTACGTGCAGGCTTTCGATGCCCTTCTGGCCGGGCCGGTGGCCGAGTACACCAAGATCAGCAGAGAAGTTGGAGGGGATGTGCAGAAGCACGTAAGGACTCCTGTTCCCCCTCTGCTCCGGGGCTGCTGCCTCTCCTTGGGGCTGGAAGGGCCAAATTTGCTGTCAGAGTCTGCATTCCTCTAGCACTGTGTCCCAGGACCTTTAGAGTCCCTGAGGATTCAAAGCAGATGCCCAGATAACCTCCAGATTCCCTCAGGGTGAATCAAACCTTCTCCTGGAAATCCTTGGGAGCCTGGCTGTGTCCAGACCTTGGGGCAGGCCTTTGGGAGGCCTGAGAGCTGCCCACCCTGAGCTGTGGTGCTCTGCTGAGGTTCCTCTGGGGATGGGCTCCTGCAGGAATGTGCTGTGGGGTCGGCGTGGCTGGTTGCTCTCAGCTGGGGTGATTTGTTCATGAGCCACAAGGGAATCCCCTCCTGTTTGTGTCTGTCCTTAGGCTGAGATGGTCCATGCAGGCTTGATGAGCGAGAGGGCTCTTCTGGTGGTGGCATCTCAGCACCAGCAGCCAGCAGAGGTGAGTGTCCCCAGTCCTCCCCCAGTTCCTCTTTTGGCCCAGCTGTGCCAGCCCGGGTTCCCCCAACACTCCCAGCCACCCCTGACCCCGAGGGCAGAGGTTTCTGACCAGGGATTTCCCACACTCTGAAGGCATGAACTGCTCTGGGTGCTCCCCAGTGCTGGGCAGAACCCTGGCTGTTGGTTCTGGGAGCTGCAGACTTGGCATTTCCCAGCTGTGGCAGCAGCAGTGCTGTGGGGCTGTCAGAGCAGCCTGGGGCTGGCAGCTCCCAGCCTCTGTCTCCAGTTTCACCTGGCACCAGCTCTGCTCAATCACTGCTCCCTGAGAGCCTGCAGACAGGATCTTGTCTGAGCCAGGAGCCACCCTGGCATTTCTGTAGCTCCTGCTTTTCATTATGTGATGCTCAGAGACTTTCAGGCATCAAACTCCTCCAGGAGCAGGGCAGACACTTGTCTCTGCTGAATGGCCTCTGAATACTGGCTGGGCTTTTAGGATTGATTTGTCCTTAGCAGGTAATTTAACACTTTACCCTGGGCTGCTGCTTCTCAGCAGGATGTGTGGCTGAGAATCTGATCCTGAATGCATTGGCTTTTCCCTGCTGAGAACTGTTTTTTCCTGAGCAACAGGATCCCACCTTGCTTTTCTTTGCAGTTATTATCTCAGTGGTGGCTTCTACTGTTTCATTGTGGGAGCTGCATTTCTGTGCTCCTTTCCTATTCACTGCCAAACAGATCTGCATCTTTTTCCCCAAAATCAGCATTGGAGGGCTGTTATGTTCCACCAGGCCTGCTGGGGTGCAGCTCTGTGCAACCTCTAGCCTGAGAACCTGCTCACAAATCCCACGGACTCCTTATTTAAACAAAGGATTATGAACAAAGAACAGCCTTAATCTAGGGTAGCTCTTTGTGCAGGTTGTCTGGCAGGAGCCTAATTCTGGAGCAGCCAGTTTAAAATGCAAAATGTGTGAGCTCTCAGTGCTTGTGCTGAAGAATTTCCCCATCCTGTGACTGGAATGTGCTGCTGGGCTGGAGCTCCTGAAAGTGTGGCCTGGCCAGCGGTGCTTGGGACCTCTCAGTTTTCATCTAAACAGAGGAAGGAGCAGCAAAAGCAGAAGCTGAGGCTTTGGAAAGCAAGTTTTGCCCAAATTTGTCCCTCTCTGCTGCCACCAGCAGGAGAGTCTCTGATGCTGAAGGAAGGAAAAGTTGTCTCAGAGACATCTCTGGAATCATGGAATTGGCTCTTTGCTGTGCTCTGACCCCAGAGCACCTCTGGCACTTCCACTCAGCATTCCAAGGGAACAGCACACAGGAACACATTTTTACCATCCAAATACTCGAGAAATAACTAGAATCCTCAAATCTGGCTTGGTGGGGGTGACTTTTGAACTTGCTGGGACTCTGGCTGTGGGACAGGCTGTAGGTGCCAAAGCTGCCCAGCACCCTTTTCTCCAAGGGTTCGTGGAGGAGAGCAAAAATTTAACAAACTGTGTTGCAACAAAAGAACCCAGGAAAGGCAAATGCTATTTCTGTCCTCGTTACTAACAAGCTCTGTCAGTGTCTCCTGGATGGAACATGAGTCACAGTTCTTGGCGTTCTCCCACGGCGCCGATCCGACGGGAGCAGTGACTTCAGCTGGAGGAGCTGGGCTGTGGGACCAGGAGAGGCCAGGCCTGGACAGAGCTGCAGCAGCCACTGGTGCCGGCTGGAATCAGCATCACCTCAGCTGTGCAGCCATTGCTGAGCCCTGCTAATTAATCCCCCTAATTGTCGCTGTGTGTCGTTGTGCAGAACGCCTTCTCAGAGCTCCTCAAGCCCATCTCGGAGCAGATCCAGGCCGTGCAGAACTTCAGGGAGAAGAACCGTGGCAGCAAACTGTTCAACCACTTGTCAGCAGTCAGTGAGAGCATCCCTGCCCTGGGCTGGGTGGCCATGGTAAGGACTCCATGGGCAGGGTGTAGTTAGGATATTTTATGAAAAATCCTGTGCTGGGATTTTTTTCTCCTGAGAAGCTTCAGGAAAGAAATGTGAACAATAACTGTCTGCTGCTGTGGGATGCAACAGGTGCAGCTGTGATTGGTGCATGTTAATTGTTTCTGATTAATGGCCAATCACAATCAGGTGGCTTGGACTCTGAGAGTCAGGAGCCTTTGTTATCCCATTCCATTCTTGTTCTTTCTAGCCTTCTCTTGAATCCTTCTCTCTCTATTCTTTTTAATATAGTTTTAGTATATCATTTGAATATAATATATACCATAATATAATAAATCAGCCTTCTGAAACATAAAGTCAAGGTTTTTGTCTCCTCACACAAAACATCAGCCATAGGCAGGGCTTTTCCTCGGGCTCTGGTGGGCTGCTCAGTGCCAACATGTTCTCTGTGCTCTAGGCTCCAAAGCCTGGTCCTTACGTGAAGGAGATGACTGATGCTGCCATGTTTTACACCAACAGGATCCTCAAGGAGTACAAGGATGTGTAAGTTGAGCTTTTCTCTTGGGGGTGGTGCTGAGCTTGGCCAGCTGGGGCTGCTCCAGCGTCTGCCCACAGCCCTTCCCTCAGCCTCTGGAATCATGGAATTGGCTCTTTGCTGTGCTCTGACCCCAGAGCACCTCTGGCACTTCCACTCAGCATTCCAAGGGAACAGCACACAGGAACACATTTTTACCATCCAAATACTCGAGAAATAACTAGAATCCTCAAATCTGGCTTGGTGTGACTTTTGAACTTGCTGGGACTCTGGCTGTGGGACAGGCTGTAGGTGCCAAAGCTGCCCAGCACCCTTTTCTCCAAGGGTTCGTGGAGGAGAGCAAAAATTTAACAAACTGTGCTGCAACAAAAGAACCCAGGAAAGGCAAATGCTATTCCTCCTCTTTGTGTTCTCAGAGATAAAAAACAAGTGGACTGGGTGAAAGCTTACCTGAGCATCTGGACAGAGCTGCAGGCCTACATCAAGGAGTACCACACCACGGGGCTGACCTGGAGCAAAACAGTGAGTGCACAGCAGGGACTGCTGGCTCGGCAGGGAGCACTGCGGAGCAGCCGTGCCACTGCCTCCCTCTTCTCTGCTCTGCTCTTCCAGGGTCCTGTGGCCACAGCAGGGGCTAAAGCAGCCCCTGCCCCCCCGGCTGGGCTTGCACCCCCACCCCCAGGGCCTCCCCCTCCTCCTGCCCCCCTGAGCTCCAGCACGGACGACTCGGCCTCGCGCTCGGCGCTCTTCGCGCAGATCAACCGGGGAGAGGGGATCACCTCGGGTAGGTCAGGCCTCGGGGAGGCAGGGACTGCCCTGCTGCTGCTCCTGCTCTCCTGCTGCCCCTCAGTGCACCTGCTTAAAAAAGGACATAAAAACCCAGTCTGGGACTGGCACTTTCCCAGGGACAAAGGGAGCGCTCCTGGGGGAGATTGTCACCCTCGTCTGGCAGGCGGAGCAAGGCATGAACTGCCAGCTGTAAATCCCTCAGGCTGAGCCCTTTGGTTGCCTGCATCTTTCTGGTACAAAAAGTGCACTTTGGCAGCTGTTGTTTGCACAGAATTTTTCCCTTTTTTGTGTTACCTGGTGAGCACAGCAGTTCATGGGGTGCTGGGCTCGGGGCTTCTCCCAGCTGCAGAGTGGAAGAGCTGGCACACTCTGGGTCTGTGGTTCACACTGTGCTCTTGTCAATATTGCACCAGCATTTCCTGCTTCCTCCTTCCCTTCCTGCCACTCACGCTTGGGCTCAGCTTAGCCCCAGTGTCAGGAGTTTATTTGTGCTTTGACAAGTGTTATCTTGACTGGTGTAACTGGTGCTTGGGGAGCTGGCTCTCAGGTTTGCCTTCTCTTGCAGGCTTGAGGCACGTCTCAGATGACATGAAAACCCACAAGAATCCAGCCCTGAAGAACCAAGGGGGCCCCGTGAGAACTGGCCCCAAACCTTTCACTGCTCCCAAACCTGCCTGTAATGCTAATCCCTCCCCAAAGGCACCTCCATTGCTAGAATTAGAAGGCAAAAAGTGGAGAGTGGTGAGTGCCTGGTGCTGGCAGGGGTGGGTTGGAGGGATGGGAGCTGTGGAGAAGCAAAGGGAGCTCTTCTGGACAACTTTCTCCTAAGAGGCAGCAGCCCGAAGGCACCTGTTTGTTTTTAAAGGGGTTTTAATGGGTTCATTGCTCTGCATTCAGAAAATGAAGGGTGTTTCCCCTGCCTTTCCAGGAAAACCAGGAGAATGCCACTAACCTGGTCATCAGTGACACAGAGTTGAAGCAGGTAGCATACGTGTTCAAGTGCACAAACAGCACACTCCAAATCAAGGGCAAGATCAACTCCATCACCCTCGGTGAGTGGGGAGAGCCCTGGGAGCTGCTCCTGCCTGCTGCTGTGTGAGCAGGAGCTGGAGCCTCCCAAATCTCTGTGCCCTCATCTGCTTTTCTTTGCAGACAACTGCAAGAAGCTGGGCCTGGTGTTTGATGACGTGGTGGGCATTGTGGAGATCATCAACAGCAGGGATGTTAAAGTTCAGGTGAGGGGCCTGTTCTCTCTCTGGCTCTGGAGCAGTTGCATTTCCAGCCCAGGAGCGTGCAGCTGTGGAGAATACCCATGAAACACCACCTGTCCCTTGGGAAAGGGCTGACATTTGTGTCTTTGAGCTGTTTCAGGGTTTGGTGGAAAGCACATTTGGCTGCCAAAGCAGGAGGCCAGCAGCAGGTTTTATTCCAGTTCAGTGTGGCTATCTGATTTGGGATGGTCAGTTTGCCCAGTGCTGGCTCAAGTTTTGTTCTGAAGAGGTCAGAGCATGAAACTGGGGAAAATTTAAAACAAAAACTTTGGATTTTTGCTAAAGGTGGAAATATCTGAATCAAGGGGAGGGCTTGGACTCAAACCTCTTGCCTTGAAAAAAAACACACCAAAAAATGCTGTGGCTGTCCAGTTTAAGCTAATTCTGCTCTGGCCCTGCCAGGTCATGGGTAAAGTGCCAACAATTTCCATCAACAAGACAGATGGGTGCCACGTGTACCTGAGCAAGAGCTCCCTGGACTGCGAGATCGTCAGTGCCAAGTCCTCAGAGATGAACGTGCTCATCCCCACCGAGGGGGGAGACTTTGTAAGTGCAGCCTGGGAATGCCCTGCAGCCCTGCTGGGGCTGGGGGCTGCAGGAGCTCTGCCTTGCTGAAGCCCTGCAGGGAGTGTTGGTTACAGTGGGGGAAAGTTGGTGGAGTTTGGAGGTTGTGAGTGATGATCTGATTTATAAAAATAGCAAAAAAAAATCATCTGTAAATAAGATTAGTGCTGGTTTGTGAGAGCTGTGAGATCTCTGGGGGGCAAGAGAAAAGAAATGCCTGAAGCAGTGGGAGTGGTTGCTAATGTCAGCCATGAACTGATTTTTGACAACAGCTTTCTGTTTTCACCCTGCAGACTGAATTCCCTGTCCCAGAACAGTTCAAGACAGTGTGGAACGGTCAGAAGTTGGTTACCACTGTGACAGAAATTGCTGGCTAAGCCCAAAAGCTGCAAGGCTCACGCCCTCCCCTGGCCCTGCTGTGGGACAAATCTGCTTTCAGATGATTCTCTTAGATTCCTTGTACCTTTCTGCTCTCAAACTGCTTCTCCTCTACCCGAGAGACACAGCTGCCTGCCATCTCTGAGCTTCCTCTGCTGGGGCTTGGGTGGTGGCGGGGCAGTGCTTGTCACCTCTCTCAGCAGGAAGGTTTCTTTCTTCTCTCCCCTTGTCCCATCTAACTGCACCACAGGTGAACTTCACAGCCAGTCCTGGCAGTTGGCTTTCAGAGTGTTGTTTTTGTATTGCCTTTAAGCAAAACTGTTGATGTGAGAGGAATGTTGTCCCCTTTTTAAGGAGTGTCTCTTGGAGGCCACAGCCCCCAGCTGTCCTGGCAGCTCCTGCAGGCTGCTCCCTGCAGCTCCCTGCAGCCAGCACAGCACATGGGAACGGTTTTGTGGGACCAAAGGCTGAGAGCTGGGCCACTCCCACCCTGATTTCTCTTGCATCATTCCCACTAGCTCGGTGCATTCCAGATTGTGCCATGACAGGAGGCTTCCATGCCCCAGTGCCACAGGAGGGCTGCAGTGCTGTCACCACGGCAGCCTGGCTGGCAGCTTGGAGCTGAGCACCTCTCATCCCACGAGCCCTCCACCTCCACAAGGCAACCTTTGCCCCAGGGCTTCCTTCCTGGAGCAGCTGAGCTCGGGTTCAGTCTGCCAGGGTGGCTTTTCTGAGCTGTGCCCTTCCCCAGAGGAAGGAGCTCCTCCATTCCAGGGCAGCAGTGCAGAGCTGTACATACCAGAGTTGGATCCAGTGGGTTCATCACTCTCTTCCTCACCTGCAATCAGCCCCCTCTGAATCCTCCCCCTTTTATCCCCCCTGTTGCTTGGCTCTTTATTTTGGTGGAAGCTTGCAGCCTCTGCTCCAGGGCCCTGGAGCAGAGGGATGGATCACACAGTACTGTACTGCCCCACAAAGGGAGCTGCACGTGCTTTGACCTTCATTTTTCCAACGCCTCGGGTGGCATAAGCATATCTCAAATGCATTTCTTCTGTAAAGTGTCAATGTTCTTTTTCTCTAGTACAAAACTTACAAAAACAAAACAAAAAAAAGGAAAATTATGCAAATTTTTTTTTTTTATTTTGAAACTGTCCTGTGACTTGTACTTGTCTTCTCCTGAGGCTTGTGAAAAAAACCTTTCTTATGTACTTAAAATTATACAGAAGATAGAATAAAGTTAATGCCAACTTGCTCATTACTGTGGCTCTTGTCTGTTTTTGGGGGCACACAGGAGCCAGGCAGGACCAGCTCCCCCTCTCTGCCTGGCCCTGCCCTGATTCCTTGGAATACTTCCCAGACTTTCCTCCAAACACAGTCAGCAGTAGTCCAAGCTTTTATTTAGTTGGTTAGATGGCAAATTCTTTATTGATTTCAGTTGTACAAAAGAACATAAACTAAGCCATTAGTTGAAAACTGTTCAAGCTGTTAATACTGCTGAATTCCAAACCCTCTTTTTTAAATTTTTTTTTCCCCAGAAACCCCTAAATTTGCCTTTCCTCCCTCCTGAAGCGTGGGCTGTAACATGAGTGCCCTGCAGGCAGCCATGAGTGCTGATCCCTGCCGAGGGCCTTGGGTTAACACTGCCAGAACAGCGCCCTGCAGGAGCTCTGGGAGCTGGGGGGATCCCCCAGGCCCTGGGGCAGAGCCAGGGCAGGGCTCAGCCCAGCTGGGAGTGCAATTCCAGCCTGGAAAACCCCCCTGGGCTGAGCCCCCCTGGGCTGAGCCCCTCCCCAAAGCCCTGGCTGCACCGAGGGCTGTGCACAGTGCCTGGAGTTAGTTCCAGTGGAAAACCCTGCCCAGGGAGCTTCAGTGGAGGAAGGGGAGGATGGAGCTGTCAAACCACTCCTCGGAGAAGTGCAGGTGGTCCCCCTGCACCCCCAGGAACACCAGCTTCCCTGCTTTGTCCATCTCCTGCAGCCCCAGGCGATCCTGTGGGGAGAAGGGGGAGATTCCAGCTCTGCTCTCTTCCTCAAGGAGGGGGAGAGGGATTCCAGGGGAGGCCTGGAGCAAAGCTTGGATCAGAGCTCCTGAAATCTGAGGGGGATCCTGAGCCAGGCAGGAACCTCCAGGGTCACTCCCAGGGTTCCACCATGCCAGGGATGGCTGAGGGAAATGTCCCCCCAAACAGCAGCTCCTGGCAGGGGGAGCAATGCCCCAGGAGTGACAAGAGAGGCCCCAGGACAGGAAAGGGGGCACAGCAGAAGCCCCCAGCCCCCAGAACTCACCTCTTTGTACAGCGAGGTCTCCTGCAGTGGGATGGTCTCCTTGGCTTGGCCACTTTTGTAAAACCCAAACCACTGCAAAAAAATGGATAAAAAAGTGCAGGAAGAGCTGCTGAAGAGCTGCCAGGAGCCAAGCAGCTGCCAGGGCAGTGCCAGGCCTGGGTCAGTGCCCAGCCTGCCACCAAAGGAACAAACCAGAGCCAAGGAGGCCCCAAGAGCTGCCCTGCCTTCCTCACCTCAGAGATTGGAGGGTCCACCATGGTATCGTTGAGGAATTTCACCATCACAAACTTCTTCAGAGCCATCAGGTTTTTCTTGTAGGTCTCGTTGATGCCCTGGATGGAAGCAGAACACATCCAAGCCACTGGAGAGCCCAGAGACAGGGAAACTCCTCAGCCTGAACCTTCCCCAGGCTGTCCTGCTGCCAGCAGTGTCCTCACCCTCTCCTGGTTGATGTCAGCCAGGAAAATGCTGCTTTTCCTGTACTCCTCCTCCTTGAGCGGGTCGTGCCAGTACTCTGCCTGCACCAAGCTGCAGAGGGACAGAGGGGGCTCAGCTGCAGAGGCAGAGCTGCTGCCAGGGCCCCGGGGCTGTACTCACTGCTCCTGCACTGCCTTGCTGTAGGCTCCCAGGTCCAGCGTCCTGCGGATCCAGTCGCAGAGGTGGGAGCTCTCCCCAGGGCAGCGTGGGAAGCCAAACACCCCTGGCAGGACACAGCTCAGTCAGCAAGCAGGGCTGCACCCCTCCTGCTGCTCCAGAGCCACCCCTGCCACTGCAGCAGAGCTGCCCAGGCAGCTTTTAGCTCTGCCAGCTCCTCAGGCAGCCCTGTGGCACAGAGAGGGGCCGGGCAGTGCTGGGTGCTGCCATGAAACCCTCCCTCTCCACCACAAACAAACAAACAGCCCCTCCCTCTCCACCACAAACAAACAAACAGCCCCTCCCTCTCCACCACAAACAAGCAGCCCCAGGAGCTGTGGGATCCCCAGGGCAGAGCATCTGGAGTTCATTCATTCTCTCAACCCCACACTCCTGAATTCCTTCTCACAACTCCCCTTTCCCTGGGGCTCTGGCCTTGGGGATGCTGATTGTAAAATGCCCCCAGAAGGTTCAGTTCCACAGATTTCCCACAAAATAACTCATCCCAAGAGCTCCCACGGCGTGTGAGAATCCCACCCAGGCAGAGCAGCCTGCTGCTGCCACAGCTCCCTCCCCACTGCCAATTAAGATAATGAATCAGCAAACACTAATTGGGCCAAACTCATCACCAGACCCAGGCAGGACAAGGGGACAATTTAATTAGTGAGCAAGTGCTCAGAGTGCAGGGCAGGGCCCCGAAGGTGCCAGGGGCTGTGCCAGGGGCTGTGGCAGGGGCAGTACCTTGGTGCTGTCCCCCGATGGAGATGAGGCTGAGCATGGCAGGAGCAGGGCACCTCTGGGCCACAGCCCTCCTGGGGGACAGCAAGGGGCTGAGCAGGGCCTGCAGCCCCAGCAGCAGGGACAGAGGGACAGAGGGACAGAGGAATCACAGAGGGGCAGAATCACAGAGGGACAGAATCACAGTGACAGAGTGACAGAATCACAAAATGACAAAATCACAGAATCACAGAGTGACAAAATCAGAGTGACAGAATCACAAAATCACAGAGTCACAGAGTGACAGAATCAGAATGACAAATCACAGAGTGACAGAATCACAGAGTCATAGAATCACAGTGACAGAGTGACAGAGTGGCAGAATCACAAAATCACAGAGTCACAGAGTGACAGAATCAGAGTGACAGAGTCACAGAATCACAAAATCTCATTCACAGTCACTGGGTTGGAAGAGACCTCCAAGATCAGAGTCCCCCCCAGCCCCACAGCTCAGCTCACCCTGGCCCCCAGTGCCACAGCCAGGCCCTGTCAAACCCCCCCAGGATGGTGGTGCACCCCCTCCCTGGGCAGAACATTCCAGAATTTACCACCCTTTGTGTAAAAATCTTTTTGCTGACACCCAACCAGTATTTCCCCTTCAGAGCTGTGTCCTTTCGTCCTGACAGCTGCTCTCTGTGGGTTTGGGCACTGGGGCAACACTGGCAGGGGATTTAACCTGCCTGGAGCAGCAGGGAAACACAGCCCGCCCCCTTGGAGCTGTGCTGCACTCAGGAATTAACATTTTGTGTGTGCTGGGCACTTCTGGAGGGTGAGCCCCGAGGGTGGGAGCCCCCGGGGCTGGGCAGGGCTCACTTACAGGAACTGGGCTCCCTGGGAGAAGCCCATGGCGTTGTAGCCTCGCTGCAGCCGCGGCTCCGTGGCCAGCTGCCTGCACACCTGGCTCACCTGCTCGTTGGCATTCATGAAGAAGCTGTTCTCCATGTCCTGGGGGCAGAGCAGGGGGCAGTGGTTGGAGCTGGGCTGGGGCTGTTTGCAGCTCTGCAGACACAGCACTGGGGCTTGTGGCTTAGAAACAGGACCTGAGCTTTCACGGGGCAGAAGTGAAATTTCAGCTCTGAGCTTCCCTTTTACCTTCACTTCCCTCTCCCTTCACCTTCACTTCCCTCTCCCTCCTGCTCTGGTTGCCAAAAGTGTCTCAAGAGGGGCAGTGACATTTCCCCAAACTCCTTCACAACTTGAATCTCTTCAGATTTTGTTAAAAAAAAATAAAATTTAAAAATCAAACTGCTCCAGAACCCAGAAAGGCACCCCAGAGTGCCCTGAGAAATTATTCCAATAAATCCCACAGCACTACAAAAGCCCTGGGAAAGCCCAGGAAGGTGCAGAGCTGTGGAGCTGATTTCCCTGAGGTCAGTCAATGTTTGCAGAGGAGCAGCGTGGCCAGGGACAAATCCCTGCCTCAGCTCCCTCCCTCCCCCGCCCTGCCTGCTCTGCCTGGGTGTGCTAATCACTGGATTTGCATATTAATCCAATTTAGGTCGGGGATTTGTTTTGCGCGGTGCTTTTCTGCCGGCATTAGCTGGACTTCAGCGGGCTCCGCCTGTCAGAGCAGTTTACCTCAGCGAGAGGAGGGGACTGCCAGAGGAATCCCGCTGGAATCCCGCGGAGCCGCGGCCGCAGGCTCAGCCCCTCACCTGGATCAGGCTGCTGCCGATCTTGAGCGACAGGACGAAGATCCCCGGGATTTTCTTCTCCACCAGTTTCTGGATGTAGCCCATGCTCACCGGATTGCAGCAGCTGTCTCCTGCCGGAGGGAACACCGAGATGCGCCACGGCCGCGGGCCTCACCTCAGCTCCAGGGGCATCGGGAGGGACCTCGCCGCGGCACCGGGAGGGACAGCACGGCACCTCCCGCTGCCCCCGGCAACGGCGGAGCGGGGCACGGTAGCGAGCGGGGCACGGCAGCGAGCGGCCCCCGGCCCAGCCCCGCGGCTCTAGCGGCGGGTCCCGCTCACCCATGCCGTGCCAGATCACCAGGGGCGTGGCGGCGGCCGCGGGGCCCAGGCCCAGCCCGAGCAGCGCCAGCACCGGCACCGCCGCCCTGAGCGCCGCCATCTTGGCCAGTCACATGACCCGCCGCCGACGAGGGGCGGGGCGTGACACTGGGCGGGACAAACAAGGAGTGGGCGTGGTCTAAAGGGGGCGTGGCCGCGGGTTCGAGTCCCGCCCAGAAATCCCAAATTTGGGACAGTTCCTTCTTCTCCCTTTTCTTCTGTAGCAGCTGGCTGTGGTGAAATAAAGGCTTAAAATCGCCCCCATTCCTGCAGGGATGATCCTAAGGGGAGAAATAAGGGTTTAAAATCGCCCCCATGCAGGAAGAATGAACTTTGGTTTGGATTTTCTCTACGTCATGTCTATCCTAAGTCAAGAACTCTTATTTCTTCTTTTTCTATTTTTTTTGGCTTCATGCTCTGCCAGTGAGGGGGTTCCCGAAAGAAGCCGTGGGACAGCTGATCCCAAAGGAATATCCCACAGAGGGAAGGTCATTCCCAGCACAGAAACTGGGGCTCAGGAAGGGTTCCAGCACCAACCAGGGCTGCTGAACAACTGCGTTGCGCACCGCACGTTTGGGTTGTTTCCCCCTCTCTCGGTTAACTGCAATTGCTGTTAATATTAACCCTAATTAATATTTGGCTGCGCTTTCATTAATGAGCATTAATGGACGGGGGTTGCCATGGCAACCCGGCCCTCCGCCCGCCAGGGGGCGCCGCCGCCGCGCGCGCTCCCACAATTCCCCGCGGCCGCGCCCCGCCCGCCTCTTCCCCGCCTCCATCATGGCGGTGAGTGCCGGGGCCGCGGGCCGGGCCGCCTCCATCCGCCGCCATCCGCGCTCGCCGGGGCTCCCCCGGCGTGCTCTGTCCGCAGCAGGAGCAGGGTGAGAAGGAGAACCCGATGCGGGAGCTGCGCATCCGCAAGCTCTGCCTCAACATCTGCGTCGGCGAGAGCGGGGATCGGCTCACCCGCGCCGCCAAGGTGCTGGAGCAGCTCACGGGCCAGACGCCCGTGTTCTCCAAGGGTGAGCGTGCGGGGCAGCCCGGCCTGGCTGTTTCCTGGCTGTTTTCTGTCCTTTCCCGTTTTTTCCCCTGGCTGCTTCCTCGGCTGTTTTCCGTCCTTTCCCCTGGTTGTTTTCCGGGGTGTTTCCCGTCCTTTCCCGTTTTTTTCCCCTGGCTGTTTCCTCGGCTGGTTTCCCTCCTTTCCCGTTTTTTTCCTCGGCTGTTTTCCCTCCTTTCCCGTTTTTCTTTTCCCCTGGCTGTTTTCCGTCCTTTCCCGTTTATTCCCCTGGCTGTTTCCTCGGCTGTTTTCCCGTTTTTTTCCCTGGCTGTTTTCCATCATTTCCCGTTTTTCTCCTGGCTGTTTTCCGTCCTTTCCCTTTTTTTTTTTTTTTTCCCCTGGCTGTTTCCTCGGCTGTTTCCCTCCTTTCCCGTGGGTGCAGCGCGGTTCCCAGGAAAGGAGAAGGCTCCAGGAGAGCTCGGGTCGGGCGAGCTGCTGGAGAACTGGGAGCCCTCAGTACTCAGGGCCTCGCGTTGTTCTGGTTCTGTCTGCAAGCTCAGGCTGCCGCTTTGCCGGCACCCCTCAGTCGGGGCGCGGGGCTGCTGGGTTCTGTGTCATTCCCTCGAACCTTTGGGTGTTGGGAGCTCCCGATCCCCGGTGGAGCTGGGAGGGAGTCCCCGCTGCCCCCTCAGGGTGACTTGCTGCCCACAGCCCGGTACACGGTGAGGTCCTTCGGGATCAGGAGGAACGAGAAGATCGCCGTTCACTGCACGGTCCGCGGGGCCAAGGCGGAGGAGATCCTGGAGAAGGGGCTCAAGGTGAGGATTTTCAGCTTGGTGAAGGATCAGAACTTTTCCTTTCTGACTGAAGGGGTGTGTGCTCCCAGGTGGTGTGCCTGACCCAGGTACAGGTCAGAAATGTTCACACTTTACCTGGGTGCTGTTTCAGCCTTATTTAAGAGCTAATTGGTGCAGCAGCTGATTTCTTTTGGGGTTTTGTCTTTGCTGCTGGGATTTGGAAGTGAAATTTTTGGGGTGAATAGCTTGTGAGCGGGTTGGGGATCTGGTAGTGTGCAGGAGTTTTAATTTTCCTTCCAGTCGGGAACAAAATAATGATCAAGAACCAACGTTTCAGGTGCGAGAATACGAGTTGAGGAAAAACAACTTCTCAGACACGGGCAACTTTGGCTTTGGAATCCAGGAGCACATCGATCTGGGCATTAAATACGATCCCAGCATTGGGATCTACGGCCTGGATTTCTACGTGGTGAGTATTCCCTGTGTGCTGGGCTTGTGGGAGAGCTCCAGAAGGAGCCTGGAGCGAGCACTGCCTCCTGTGGACTCGCTGCCAAAGATAAACTTGGGGTTTGTTGATGTTTTTTTAATCTGAGATTCCCAGAGCTGCCATAAAATCCCTGATTTATGACAAATCTCACAAAGCCTCTTCAGAAACAACACAAGTTGCTCTGACAGCAACTCCTGGGATAACACAGAGCAGCAGGGCTGGGTTTGGGGAAGGAGGGAGCAACGAGGCATGGCTGACGGGGAAATGAGGAACCTCCAGGCTTCCCTCCTGGAAACCTGTTCAGTTCAGGACGGGAGAAGGTGGCAGGATGAGGCAGTGCTGCTGGCTTTGTGCTGCAGGTGCTGGGCAGGCCGGGTTTCAGCATTGCTGACAAGAAGCGCAGGACTGGCAACATCGGGGCCAAGCACAGGATCGGCAAGGAGGAAGCCATGCGCTGGTTCCAGCAGAAGGTACAGTCCCCCTCTGCTTTGTACCCAGCAGAATGCCTCGTGGGAAGGCTGGAGCACATCACCAGATCTTAATTAGTGCTTAAATCGTGGGGTTTTGCTGTCCCAGAGCAGTAGAGGCTGCTGCTTGTAAATAGGAACATTTGTGCTTTTTTGGGTGTGCTGAGCTGAAAGAGCAGCTCTTGGCAGGAGAGCTGGAGGAGTCACCAGCTCCTGGCCTCAGCTTTTGGAGGAGCTGCACGTTTGTGAGGCAGGAGGCAGGGTTAGCATTTGTTGGGCTGACACAGCTCCAGCCTCAGCTGACACGCTTGGAGGATGGAGAGATCCACAAATAAAACAAAATCTTGGTTTTATCTGTCCATAAAGTCAATAACTTTAAAGGACAATGAATGGCAGCTGCTGAAACCTGGGTAGGAATATCAGAGGTGGAGACTCCTGGTAGTTTCTTGGGGTTTTTTTTGATAAAAAGAGTGGAGTCTGCCTGGACCTACACAGGTCACACCCTGTGCAGGTCACACTGCTGCCTGACCTTGCTGAATTGCTGTTTCCCCCATGCTGCCTGGTTGTGCTGGATGTGGCACAGATACCCTCAGGGCCCAGATTTTGGGCTGCTTGTTTCAGGGGTCTGTGTTCTTACCTGAGCACAGCCCCTTGGACATTCCAGCACAGCACATTCCAGCTGGCTGCAGGGAAACTGCTCTGCCACGTCCCTGTGGGCTTGGAAGAACTCTGGTGATTCAGGTTTTCTGCACAGCAGCACTGTACTTTTACCTGATGCTGATTTCTCACTTGGTTCTTATTTTACTTTTTTTCTTTTCCCCTCACAGTATGATGGCATCATCCTTCCCGGTAAATGAGCAGTTCCTGTTACTTCCAGAGAAGTAAATAAATTTTTCTAACCCCTAACTTGTGTTGTGAATTTTGTGGGGAAGCTGATGGGAGTGAGGGTCCTTCACTGTTATTTTTTTTCTCCTTTTTGTATTTTCCAATCCATGCTGCAGTCCAGTGCTGCAGGCTGGGGAGAAAAGCTCTTCTGTATTTCTTGTGTCTGCTTAAGCTCTGAGATGGAGGCAGCTCAGGGGACAATTTCCTAGCTGCCAGAGTTTGCAGTGACCCCAGACATGAGCGTGCCTCCTTCTCCAGCTGTCCCACACCCCTGAGCTCAGTGTCCTTCCTGCAGCTGCCTTCAGTCAGAGCCTGAGTCACAGCCAGCCTGGAGAACACCTGCCCACTGCAGCACCAGCCACTCTTGCTGCTAGGAATTCCTCCACCCTGTTTTGGGAAGCATCAAAGGCTTCTCCCCCATTTCCCATTATCCAGCAGCTCCCAGCCCCACAAGGTGTGTGCTGGTCCTGCCGGGTGTGTCCTGGCTCTGACTCACCCCAGGCTGAGCTGCTCTTGCCTTGCTCTCAGACAGGTTTGTCAGGGGGAAGCTCTGCCCAGCGCCAGGATGTGCAGCTGGGGGCACAGAGACCCTCAGCTTTCCCCCTCAACACCCTCCTCCCAGCCAGCTGACTGCTCCTAACACTTCCAGCAGGCTTTTGGGGTGCTGTGGGGTCAGCCACCCTCCCCAAGAAAGGGCTGGACCCAGGGCCAGACCGAGACCTGGACTGGGCTGGGCTCAGGCTCAGACTGAGACCTGGACTGGGCTGGGCTCAGGCTCAGACTGGGACCTGGACTGGGCTGGGCCCAGGGCCAGACTGAGACCTGGACTGGGCTGGGCTCAGATCCACACCGAGACCTGGACTGGGCTGGGCTCAGGCTCAGACTGGGACCTGGACTGGGCTGGGCCCAGGGCCAGACTGAGACCGGGACTGGGCTGGGCTCAGATCCACACTGAGACCTGGACTGGGCTGGGCTCAGGCTCAGACTGGGACCTGGACTGGGCTGGGCTCAGGTCCAGATTCAGCTGAAGACACAACACTGCAAGAACACCCTCAGCAATCCCAAAGAAAAGCAGCTGTTTGGAGGCAACAGGAGCAGGTGTGAAGTGACATTGCCTCAGGAAAAAAATGTGTCCAGTTCTGGGCTCCTCGGGTCAAAAAAGACAAGGAGCTGCTGGAGGGGGTCTGAAGAGGGAACAAAGATGATTAAAGGACTGGAGCATCTCTGGTGAGCAGAGCTGGGCCTGGTCAGGCTGGAGATGGGCAGGCTGAGGGGACCCCATAAACTCCTCAAACATCCCCAAGGGCTGTCAGAGAATGGTGCCAGGCTCTGTTCAGCGGTGCCCAGTGCCAGGATGAGGAGCAATGCCCATAAACCAAACCATGACTTTTACCTCAACATGAGGCAGAACTTCCCGCGAGGGTGGCCGAGGGCTGGAGCCTCCCTCTGTGGGGACATCCCACCCGCACGTGTCCCTGTGCCACCAGGCGCCCCTGCCTTGACAGGGGGGTGACCTGGACGGTGTGCAGAGGTCGGTTCCAGCCGGGATTGTGCGAGGCGGAGCTGACAGAGCCGCGGGGCCGCGCTCCCCTCAGCGCGCCGCTGCCAGCACCCAGCATGGCGCCGCTGCCAGCACCCAGCATGGCGCCGCTGCCAGCACCCAACATGGCGCCGCTGCCAGCACCCAACATGGCGCCGCTGCCAGCACCCAGCATGGCGCCCCCAACATGGCGCCCTCCATCCTCTGCCCGCACCCGCCATGGCCGAGGCCGCGCCGCTTCCGCTTCCTGCCCGCAGCCAAGATGGCGGCGGCGGCGGGGCAGCGCCGCGGGCCCGGCGGGCGCTGAAGCCGCTTCCGCCGCCGCCGCTCTCCAGCACTAAACATGGCGGAGTCGGTGCTGGAAGTTGTGGGCCGGCTGCAGGCGCGGCTGGCGGGCAGCGCCGAGCCCAAGAAGGTGACGGGGGGCTGCCCCAGCCCGGGGGTCGGGAGGGCGCGGGGCAGGGCCTCCCCCCGCCGGCCCCCGTCGCTTTTTAGGGTCCCCCCGGGGCCGGTTCAGGGTGGTGGCAGGGGTCCCAGGACCGGTTTGGGGCGGCGGCAGGGGTCCCGGGGCAGGTCCCCCCGTGGCAGTGACGGGCAGGGGTCCCTTGTGGGGTCTCCCTTTCGGGGTCTCCTTTCGGGGTCTCTCTTTCGGGGTCTCCCTTGTGGGGTCTCTCTTTTGGGGTCTCCCTTTCGGGGTCTCCCTTTCGGGGTCTCTCTTTTGGGGTCTCCCTTTCGGGGTCTCCCTTTTGGGGTCTCTCTTTTGGGGTCTCTCTTTTGGGGTCTCCCTTTCGGAGTCTCCCTTTCGGGGTCTCCTTTCGGGGTCTCCCTCCGGGGTCTCCCTTTCGGAGTCTCCCTTCCGGGGTCTCCCTCCGGGGTGCCCCGTGGCCCCGGGTGCACGCCGGGCTCTCCGGAAGAGCCTGGCGCCGGTGACGTGTTGGCTCCTGGAGCCGGCTGAGCCCACGCAGGGAGGCTCCGCTCCGGGTGCGGGTGCGGGGCTGCCTCCCGGCCCCTCCGGCCCCTCCGGCCCCTCCGTTCCAGGAGGACTCGCGTGGCTCCCCTCGCCCCCCTGCACCGGGGGATGTGCCCGCGGCCGGGGCGCTGTGCCCGCAGCAGCTGTGACATTCGGCCCGTGGCAGTGACTGCCCTGCTGGCTCTCCTAGTGAGGTTTGGGGTTCTGGGGGGACTGGGGCACGCTGTCACTCCGTTCTCCTGCTGGAAAGGGGGAGCGTCTGCTGGGAGTGTCGGGTTCACGTTTTGTGTGACTCAGGTGGAGGAGGAGGCAGGCAGGGCTGTGCCGCTGCTCCGCCGAAACAAACACCTGCAGAACTCCTTCCCGAGCCCTCCCAGCAGCCGGGAGGAGGAGGAGGAGAGGATGCTGGAGTGCTGACCCTTTGAAATGGGAGCCCCTGCAGGAGCTGCAGCCTGGCTGGGGGTGATGCAATGGGATCTGGTTACTCTTCTCACCCTCAGCCAGCTTTATTTAACTGGTGGAGCCCCAGATGGAGCCGAGGCACCGCCAAGGACTCGGATCCAGGGGGTCTGAGCTCAGATCCAGGGGGTCTGAGCTTCCTGGCGCCGGGATCGTGGGCAACACTTGCAATATTGTTTCAGCCCTGTGTGCACAGAAAGGGCCCTGCTGCTCCCTGCCCCTTGTGTGACTCGGGGCAGGGGGTGCTGCTGTGTTTCTGGAGCGCTGCAAGCCCTGGGCAGTGTTTGCACAGCCCGGCTCTTTCTCCAGTGACCTCGTGGTGTGCAGTGGTTTCTTGCTCTGTTGATCCTGGGCGGTTTTGCAAGGCAGGCACAGGAGGTGAAGCGGGGTAATGACTTGAAAAGCGCTTTTCTTCCCCAGCAGAAAGGCCCTGTGACCTGTATTCTTTATTTCTGATCCTTTTCCAGCCATATCCTCGGAAGCATTAGTGGTTTAAAGCTTGCATTTAGTTGCCATTGCATTGTCTTGATGGATTTTGTGAGGACCTTCCTGTCAAAGAGATTTTACCCCATCACCAGGACAAATCCACAGCATCCCTGGGTGCTGCCCACCCTTACAGCATTTCCAGTCTTCACTTTTCTTGCCTGATCCTTTCAAAATACTTTATTAGGAATATGAAAGAATAATATTTGCCCAGTATCATGTACAACTCACTGTCTTGCTGAAAGGTGTACAGTGCTGTTATTCCTGGTTTTGGGTGAAAATTTGGCTGCTGGCATGGAACAGTGCGAGTGAAATCTTGGACAGTGCTGTCATGGTTTGGAAAATGTCCTTTTTTTCCAGCAGAGGAAGTACAAGCTCTGCTCCAGGGCTATGGGAAGCAAGAGGAGAAGGAAAACATGAGCAGGAGCATCTTCATGGAGGCCAGGCTGTGCTGGAGCAATCTGATATTAGTGTGTGTTTTAGTGTCATAACAGTCTGGCTGCCTTCTTTCAGGGAAACAAAACAAGCCACCCATGTTCAGCAGGACTTGATTGGAGCTGGAGCTCAGTTTTAGGGCTGTGTCTTGATTTCCTGAAGGCCTGCCCTGTGCTGGGCTGTTTCAGAAGAGCTTTGCTGTGTGTGTCTCACAAGAGCCGAGCCTGGTGTTCTCTGTCTCCCACCTGGTCGCCTTTTCCTCACAGGATTTGTGTGATCTTGGTTTTATTTCCACGATGAGCTGCCAGATGTGGAATCCCAGGATTGGTACAGGTTGGAAAAGACCTCCAGGATCGAGTCCAACCTTTGATTGAACCCTTCCATATCAACTGAGTTCCACACGGAGTTGTTTCTTGAACATGTCCAGGGATGAAGACTCCACACCTCCCTCCAATGCCTGACCACCTTTCTGTGAAGAAATTCCTCCTGTTGTCCAAAATTCTTCCTGTGTCCCTGTTAGCCTCAGTGGGATGAACTCCATCAGCTTGTTTCCAAAGGAGATAAAGTTCAGTAGGAGTTTTTAAGCCTCGGTGCATCACAGCTGCCTCACTTGGTGCATCTCAGGCACGAGGACCTGTGTTCCACGGAGGAACCGACTGCAGTGGCTCATGAATAACTCAGCTCCTCTGAGACCTGTTCTGGATCCAGCGTGTGGCTGCCCTGGTCTCCAGGCACACAGAGAGCAGCATTCCCATTGAGAGCAGCCCTTTCTTCCTGGAATTGAGCCCTGAAGGCAGCAAATAACTAAAGAGCAAACAGAGCTGTGGGAGATGCTACAGTGGGGTGTAGCTAGAAAATATTTGGGAGGATTTAGGGCCACCAGAATGAGTCCTCCTTTGGTTCTTACTCTCACAGTGGGATTTTGTAAGCTCTGAAGAAACCTTTCTATGAATTTAATTAGCTCACAGAGATGCTGTTGCTTTAATATTGTCCTGGTTTACTCTTTTTCTATCTAGCACAAAAATCCATCCTTCTTTCCCTTCCTGTCCCCTTTGTGCACACCACTCCAAACCCCTTTATCACCAATCCCTGAGGGATTTTGGCCTTTCCAGAGGGCTCCTGGCCCCTGCACTGTGGCAGGCAGTCCGAGGAGAGGCAGCAGAGCTGGGCTCTGTCCCTGCTGCCTTTGCTTTGATGGCTTCAGGTGCCACTTGTTGAGCAGCTGTGCTGGCAAGGCAAGAGCAGCCACTCTTGGTGTCAGTGTTCCACTCTTCTGAACCAAGACAACCGAAACCTTCTGTCACAGTGATCAGGTCCTAAATTTAAAGGAGTGGTTTCTGGTGAACAGAAGTTGTGGTTTTGCTCATGTCAGAGGAGCCCTTCTCTGGGTGTCGAGGAGTGTTTCCTCTCTGAAAGCAGCTCCTCAGACAGGTCAAAGAGCTCCTCTCCTGCAAAGGAAGGAGGCTGAAACCTCTGTGCTCCTTGCAGGGTGCCGTGGGGGTGGCTGGGTGTCAGCTCAGGCTGACAGTGCTGATTTGAGCACGAGCACAGTGCTGGAAAGAGAAGACCTTGTGCATCAGGGGCAGCCCTTTGTATGGCATATAGCATAGGAGTGCTGAGCACAGCCCGGGCTCTATAGGGGCTGGAATAATGGGAATGCTGATGAGGCTGGACTCTGCTATAGCTGAGCTCTGGGGATGGTGTGAGGGGCAAGGCTGCTGTCAGATGTGTTCCACCATGTAGTGTAGCTGCAGAGCCAACAGGCATGGTGGTGAGGCCATGTCCCAAACCACCTGGCTGGCAGAGGGACAGGAACGTCCCCTTCTCTCAGAATCCCACAACCATTAGGGTTGGAAAAGATCTCCAGGATCATCAAGTCCAGCCTGTGACTGATCCCCACCTTGCCAGCCAGCCCAGAGCCAGTCTGGTCAATCCTTCAACACCTCCAGGGATGGTGACTCCACCTCCCTGGGCAGTCCATTCCCATGCCTGGCCACCCTTTCCTGAGGAAGTTTCTCCTGGTGTCCATCCTGAACCTCCTCTGGTTCAGCTTGAGGCTGTTTCTTCTTGCCCAACTCCACCAGCTCCTCTTTGGAGAGGGCTCCTTGTCCCACCCTGTCCCATGGAGCAGCTGAAGATGCTGGCAGAACCTTGCTTGGGGTGTGTGGAGTTCAAAACACTTCTCTGGTGTTTGGTGAAGGGAAGAGAAAAGAGTGGAGCAAGAGGGAGGGAGCTTGGAAGGGATCAGGTGCTGTTTTAGCACCTGATTGAAGAGAGCCTGTCAGCAGTGGAGACACAGGTTCCCCTCTTGGGTCTTTAAGAGCATCTAGAAATCTTCCTTCCCCTTTTTATTGCCAAGGGTGTGATTCCAGCACCACCTTCTGAGAGTCACAGGCCCCCAAGTCCTTTCTTCCTCCTGCTGGGTGTTTCTGTTCCCCGTGCTTTAAGCCAGATTGAAGCTGCAGTCCCGTGTGAAGCAAACAATATCTGAGTGTGTTACAAGACTTTCTGGTGGGTTCTTGTGGGCAGAGACAAGAATTTTTTGCAGTTGGCCCTTGTGTTCAGCTTCTCAGGAGCTTTTTTGGAGCGAGACAGCGCTTTTGGATCTTCCTCACAAGCTCTCAGGCAGTGCAGCATTGTCTTCCTCCCCAGTCCCTGTCTGTGGCTCTGTGTGACACCTCTGAACCCTTCCCTTGTCTCCACAGCTGCTGAAGAGTCTGAAGAGGCTGTCAGAGTTACCCATCACCGTTGACATTCTCGTGGTAAGAGCTGTGAGATCTCAGGGCTTTCCCTCGTGTCTGTGGCTCGGGGAGGTGGTTGCTGTTTTCCTTGGTGTCCCTGAGCAGGCTGTGTCCCCTCGGCCGCCTGCTCCAGCCCAGTGACACGGGTGTCATTGTGATAAGGCTCTGCCAGTGCCAGGCACGGGGAAGGAGCGTGCCAGGGCAGGTGGGAGGCCGTGGAGGACACTTTGGCACGCTCAGTTCTCCCAAAAGCTTAGCACCTGACTGGGATAAGAGAGTTGGAGCAGATCCCAGCAACAACAAATCAGTGGGAAATGAGGAAGTGTTAATCCTTACAGTTTTTAACAGCTTCTGTCTTCAAACTCGCCAGCTCTCATGGTAAATACTGACTTGGGTTGTTAATACAAATAATTAATGTTTGTCTAAGGTTGAACTAACCTTTGATTTACATGCAGTGAGTGATATAAAGCAGCTGAAGACATAATAGAAGTGCTATCTTTGCTGTTAGATCAAGGAACTTTCTCCCTCACAGCAGCAGGGACTGTGTTGGTTTCGCTGACTCTTTAGGGAGTTCAGCAGGGGTGAGAATTCCTGTTTTGCTAAGATGGATTCATGGCTCTCTCCTGAAGGAGACAGGAGTTGGGAAGACTGTGAACAGCCTGAGGAAACACGAGCTGGTGGGAGACTTTGCCAAGGACCTGGTGGCCAGGTGGAAGAAGCTGGTGCCAGTGGCCCAGGAGGCAGAGCGGTGAGTGAGCCCCATGGACGAGCTTTGGGAAGGTTTTCTCACTGGATAGTTCAAACCTCCCTGGCCAAAGCTCTGGAAAAACTTGTAAAACCAATATGTGAACTCTGCCTGGGGGTTTTGCCTTGTTTTGGCAGACACTTCCTGCATTTGCTGGCTCTGGAGCGTTGGGATGATGACAGCTGCAGTTTCATGTGGAAGTTTGGGCCAATTTTCAAGAATTTGCAGTTTGGTGAAGAGATTAACAGGAGATGCCAAAAAAAGTGCCCTTAATAAAGCAAAAGATGCAATCTGCTTGCTTCTCATTTTATCATTCTGAAGGCAGAAAGTTCTAGGCCCAAGTAAATTGAAAGAATGCTTTCACGAGCCAGAATCCTATGGAAACTGGAGGTTCTTGCTAGCAGGCATGTGGCAGTAACAAAGCTGTGCTGAACCCAGCAGAGATCAAATAGATTTGAGTGATAAAGCCCAGTTATTAATGGAATTTAAAGGAGTGGTATTCCCACGTGTTGAACTGGGGAACTGGGGAATATTTCCCACAGCATCACGCAGCCAGGAGTGTGCAGGCACAGGCAAAGTTTTGTTTCTAGTTCTAATAAAACTGCTTCATCAATTCTTGGACTAGAAATGCAGTTTTTAAATCCCTGATTGTTGCTGTTCCTTAGAGATTTATTTAGTGGAATTTTTGCCACAAAGCCACCAAATACAACCTTGGTCTTCCATGAGAGATATTCCAGTCCAGGGAATGGCTCTTTTCATTCATGTTGGGCAGTATTAATCTAACTCTGCTTGGTTTCTTCTTCCTTCAGAAATAACCTGGACTCTGAAGAGCGTGACTACGAGAGGAGCAGCTCGAGCAAAAGGCATCAGGAATCCTCCCTCAGAGAGGATGAGGAGGCTGATCAGGAGTACTCAGAACCCTTCCAGCCTTCTTGCAGCCAGTCCTATAGCCCAGATCACAGGGAAAAGAAGTCCAAAAGACATCCTAGGCCTGAGAGAGCCTATGAGACTTACAGCTACAGCAGCCACCAGAAGGGCTGGGGCAGATCCTCGCCGGTGCTCTCCTCAGACCAGGAGTACTCGGACTGTGGGCAGGCAGTGTCACCCGAGCCCAGCGAGAGCCCTCAGGATGTGGACACAGACCCTTACGCCTCCGAGGAGCAGGAAGAGGCAGCACTATTCCCTGGGAAAGGCAGTAAAGGGCACAGCTTGCAGGAGAAGCTCGGGGCGGGCCGGGAGCGCGGCTCCGGCGATTTCTGCGACAAAGGGAGCGCGAGCCGGAGCAGAGAGCACAAATCCTCGCACAAGAAGCAGCGGCTCGATGGCAGAGGGGACGACAGGAGCTCTGCCTTCAGCCCCGAGAGGTTGCACAAGGTGGCAGTGGCCGGCAAGGAGAAGCAGAGGACATCAGAGGGCAGCAAAAAGGAGAAGAATCGGGAAAGCGGCGCCTCCAGGAAGGAGAAGTCGCACTCCTTGCAGCACTCGGAGGAGTCTTTGGACAACCATGTCAAGAAGCAAAAGCATCGGGACTCTGAGAAGAGCAAATTGGAGAAGTCCAAGCAGAGCCTGGAGAGCTCTAACTCAGAGAAACGGAAAGCTGAGAGTGACTCAGGAAATAGGATCAAGGAAAAGGGGGGGTCTGGGAGCTTAAAGTCTTCGGAGGGGAAGCGCAAAAGCTCGGATGTGGACAAAAAATCAGTGGGTTTTTCCTCAAATTCTGGGGAGGGGGAAGCGGAGGATGAGTTTGAACAACCTACAATGTCGTTTGAGTCATATCTCAGCTATGACCAGCCCCAGAAAAAGAAAGTGGTCAAACCTTCAGCTGGGTCAGCTGGGGACAAAGACCGAGGGCACAGCAAACAGAACGGATCCAAAGCCAGTACCAACAGCTCGAGCTCCAGTCAGAAGAGTCCAAGCCACAAGAGAACAAGTGAGAAAAAGGCAGAGAAGAAAACCCCAGAGCCTCCTAAACCAAAGAGGGTAAGGTTTGGTAAGAAAGCAGAGTAGCTGTGGATGTGAGCTTAGAATCCAGCCCAGTTTGCAGTGCATCTCCTGCTAAAGAGGTTCCCATGTCTCCCTCTCAAGTATTTATGCTTCTCTAAAATGGACCTTTTTTAGTGTCCAGAAATGGGAGAACTGGTGGTGCAAGGCAGGTCATTCCAGAAGACAAACCTCCTTTTGTGAAAGCCTGGAAAATGAGCAATATTTCTGTGCAGATCCTTTGTCACATGGGCGCCAGGGTTTGCTGTGTGAATAGGGACTAATATGTAAAATCTTTACTGTTTCATCTTTTTACTCAACTTTGAAACACTTGGCTCTTCACAAAGTGGTTTTTATAAAGTTTAACAGCATTTTAAATCCTGCTTTGCCATTCATTCTAATAAGTGCTTCTTAAAACTCCCTATCAAAGTTTTCAGTTTCCCTCAGTTTCTGAGGTTCCCTTCTCCTCCAACAATGCAAAGTTTTTTGCAGGAAGAGGAGAAGAGGCAGAACTGGTAAATGAGTGTTTGAGATCAAGGAAATGCTTCTGCTTGTCCTGAATAGGTTAAAAACATGGATGGCTCTTTCTGGAAGGTGCTGGATGATTCAGATCCCAAATTTCATCTTCTTCCTATTGGCAGCCACCCCCTGAGGTTGCTAATGAGCAGCATTGGGTGATTAATTCAAAATGTGCAAAAAGCCCCACAGTTGAGTGCTGTTTGGACCCTGGTGGAACGTCACATGCTGCTGTATTCCTGTCTTAGTCCATGTCCATCCTCTCCTTCCAGATCATTTTAGACGTGGTCCCGACGTTACCAGACATCCCCCTGCCCCCCATCCAGGCCAATTATCGTCCTCTTCCCTCCATCGAGTCCATCCCCTGCTCCCAGACAAAAAGGAAAGGTATGTTGGGCAGGAAAATGGGTTTGGGATGAGCCAGATTGAGGCAGAGAGCAGGGCTGGGTTCAGGTCTTTCTGGTGGGGTCTGCCAAGGGCAGAGGTTTCAGATAAAAAAGCAGCTCCATCAGAAATGAGAAGAATCTTTCACTGATGCTCCTTTGGGGCTCGGGCTTTGGGTTTGCCCTTCCTGAACTTGCTCTGCAGGTCTCTTGGTGTGACTTTGCCCTTTAGGTCACTTCTGGGTGACTCCAATTTGTGGCTCCTGTGCCATTTATCAGGACAGGCTCTTCATTTTCTCTGTCCCCTCCTCACTCCAAGCGTTTCCCTCCACAGCAGTGTCCTCGCCAGTGGAGGAGAGCGAAGCTGGTTTCACAGGCCGACGCTTAAATTCCAAAATGCAGGTGTACTCTGGCTCCAAAACTGCCTACCTCCCAAAGATGATGTCCCTGTACCAGCAGTGTATCAGGGTCCTCAGTAACAACATCGACTGTAAGTACCTGTCCCTGTCTCACTGTGCACTGAAATCCTGGCAACCTGGGACAGACCCCAGCAGTTCCCCCTTGGTACAAATATGGGATAAATCCCACTGGAAGTCCAGGTGCTGCAGGGATCAGCACCCAGAATGCTTTCAAGCAATGCTTAAGCACTGGAAATTATGGCAAATGGAGCTTGCACAGATATTTCTCAACTTGGAGATACTGGTGCCTGAGGTTCCTTTCTCCTCCCCTCATCCTGAATGCTGTTGTGCAACATTGCATTTGTTTCACTGTGTTTCAAGGCGTCAAGCCCTCTCCTTTGCAAGGAAGGAGCAGGATAATTAACACCCTGTGCTTCTTGCCTCTCTCTAGCAATCTATGAAGTGGGTGGAGTCCCTTTCTCTGTGCTGGAACCAGTGTTGGAGAGGTGCACCCCGGAGCAGCTGTACCGCATCGAGGAGTGTAACCATGTGAGGGCCTGGGATGGGATGGGGGAATGGAATGGAATGGAATGGAATGGAATGGAATGGAATGGAATGGAATGGAATGGAATGGAATGGAATGGAATGGAATGGAATGGAATGGAATGGAATGGAATGGAATGGAATGGAATGGAATGGAAAGGAAAGGAAAGGAAAGGAATGGAGCCATGTGAGTGCCTGGGCCTGGTTGAAGGGATGGGATGTGCAGGGCTGTCCTCTCCTGTGCACGTGTTGGAGCAGAGTGGCACACAAAGCCTTTCCATTGCAAGAGCTGCCTTTAGCCACTCCTGGCATTGCGGCACGCGGGCCCTGCTGGAATTCCACCAGCACCGAGCTGCTGCCGAGGGAAAGGGGCCTGCAGGAGGGATCCCAGCTCCGTGTGGGCTTGCTTCAGGTGCTGGTGGAGGACACGGACCAGCTGTGGCACAACCACTGCCTGCGGGACTTCAAGAACGAGAAGCCCGAGGAGTTCGAGTCGTGGCGGGAGATGTACCTGCGGCTGCACGACGCGCGCGAGCAGCGCCTGCTCATGCTGGCCCGCAACATCGGCTCTGCCCACGCCAACAGACCCAAAGGTGGGCTGGGCAGCCCTCTGGGCCTGGCACCCCTCTCGCTGAGGAGCTGCCCAGCTCTCTGTGCTCCTCAGCGGTGTCTTGCTTTCGTCCGTGGTGGTGTTGGTGCAGCTCAGTATTTTACAGTGATGATGAGCAGGCTCCTTGTCCCCCCAGGGTGGGGGGAAACATTTCTGATTTTTGGGGGAACATAATGAGAACTGCTGAGCTGATCAGTCTGATCTCTCACTGCGAGAGGTTCAGACCTTAGGAAGGAGATTGTCACTATTTCTTCAGAATGGGTGGACTGGGGAGAGGTGGATGAAGTATCAGTAGTAAGACAAGCAGTGAGGAGCCTCCTTAAATCCAGCTGGATGTAAGTGATGTTTCCCTCTGGCCTCTTGCAGGGAGAGTGGCCAAGATGGCATTTGTGAACTCTGCAGCGAAGCCGCCTCGGGACGTTCGGAGGAGACAGGAGAAGTTTGGAACTGGAGGCCCCCTTCTCCCAGAGAAGACCAAGTGAGTGTTTCTCTGTAGCACTTGCTGCTCAGGGCCTCCTGCCAGCTGCCCCCTGGAGCTCAGGGGAGGATACTGTGTGTCTGGGAGCTCCTTTTGCAGGGACACTTGTAACTGTACTCACCTGTTTCCTGCTGGGAAGCGCAGAGATCCTGGTCAGTGCTGGTTCCACCTTGTACCAGCCCTGCTGCTGCTGCAAACCTGCCTTGTGTCTGCAGAACTGCCTCCAAGCAGGGTGAATCTGTTGTGGCAGTGCCTGTCCTGTGTGTGTTCCAGAATAAAACCAGTCCTGTACACATCCAGCAAAAGCCACGCTCGGGCGAGCGAGGAGCAGTCCTACGACGGGCCCAGCACCAGCAGCGCCCACCCGGCCCCATCTTCAGGTAGCACCTTCTCCTCCTACGACCCCAGGAAACCCCCTGTGAAGAGTAAGTACCACCTGCAGCACATCCCTGTGGCCCCTGAGAGCCTCTCCTTCACGAACAGCTGCTTCTGGGGGGAGGATTCCGGGCTGTGCAGGAGGGTTGGTGTTGGTGTCTGTCCTCTCTCTGTTCAGACTTGTTGTGTGAGGAACAGCAAAGGGAAACCTTGCATTCACCCACTCAGAGCTGACTGCATCAGCCTGGCCTGCTGGCACCAGTGAGGCAGAACCTGTCTGTCCTCCTGCTGCCCTGTGCCTGTCCAGCTGTTTGGGATGGGAGTGCAGCTCTGTCGGGAAGGAAGCAGGGAGGGTTGAAGCAGGGATCTGAGTTGGTGCAGTGCAGAGAGCAGTGCCTTCTCCTGTCTGTGACCTAAAAACTGATGGGCTCTGCTCAAACACTCATTCTGCCAGGGCTGCACCTTTCAATTGCTCTCAGCTCTTCTTCTATCACTTTTTCTTTCATGTGGGGATTTTTTGTTTTATTCATGGCGGTTTGTTTTTTCTTTCTCTTTTGCAGAAATTGCACCAATGATGGCAAAGACTATCAAAGCTTTCAAAAACAGGTTCTCTCGGAGATAAGCTTGCAGTGCTGAGCTGGGCCTTTCTCTCTTGGGGAGGAGTGGCACTGGAGGGGGAGAAGGCACCCAAACAGCCCTTCCTTATCTTTGAACTCTTCGGAGGCTACAGCTGCTGGGAGAAGCTTCAGTCTGCACAAGATGACGGCACAGTATTTTATCTTTTATTCTGGTCCCTTTCTCAGTGTCAAGCCCCCCTCTTTTACCCCCTGTCCTCAACATTCTGTTTCTGGCTTTGTCATCCATCGAAAGAAGGGTGTACAGAATCTCCTGACACAGGAAAATGTGAAATCTTGGCACCTGCTGAGAGTGGAAGATCCAGAGACTTATTTACTATTTAACCTCTTAATAAATTATAAAATGGTTTTAATTAATATTTTGCCCCTCTACCCTGTTGTTTTATTTATGTTGCTCCCAGTAGTCCCTCCCCTCCCAAGCCAGTCCTGGGTCAGCCTTGGTGGCTGGAGCTGGAATCCATCTGAGTGGACCCTGGGTGCCACAGGAGCCTTTCCTGTCACCTGGTACCTGCTGGGCCCACAGTCTCACCTGGAGACTCTGGGACAGGCAGAACCAGTGGCCCAGCCACTTGCCAGTCCTTTGGCAAGTGCCTCCAGCCCCGAGGCTTTGCTCCCTGCTCGTGTGTGTCAATAAAATCTGAGCTCTTGACCCTCTCTGTGCTGTTGCTGTAGATCCTGTACAGGTATTTTGTGGTCCTGCAGGGATGCCAGGAGCTTTTGGGGACGTTTCCTCTGCTGCTGTTGTCTTCTGCTGGCTGCTGGGAATGACACTGCCAGGGATTTGGGAGAACTTGTACTGTGCATCAAGTCAGATTTTAACTTTTTATCTGGAGAGAGATAGGGGCCTTTGCAATGGAAAACAGTTTTTAAATACCAGTGAAGGCATCATTTGCCTCTTTTAATGGGAAGAAGGAAGGAATTCTTCTGTCTTGTTTTCTGTGTGGAACTGCAAAGGATTTATTTCCAGTTGGGAAGCTGGTGCCTAAATCCTGTCTTTTCCCTGTATGTTTTGCTCTGTCTCTTCTTTGGAAAAATCCAAGGATTTTGATCTTTGAACCTGAAACCACTTGAATGAGGCTGGAGGGAAGTGAGCTGAGGGATTGTGGCTGCTGTAACTCGTGTGTGTCCTTCAGAGCAGGAGTTCCAGAGGCTCCCTTGTGGCTCAGGAAGGACAAGGGGAGGGTCAGGGAGTGCCCTGGAGCTCCTGCAGAGGTCAGAGCCCTGCTGAGCTTGTGGGGATGGCAGCTGGGCTCGCCAGGGCTGGACACAGCCAGGAGCTGTGCTGTGCTGCTGGGGAGCTTTCTGCCTGTGGGGCGAGTCTGGGGAAGGTTGCTGCCTGTGGGGTGAGTCTGGGGAAGGTTGCTGCTCGTGTTTTGTCTGCCCCAAAGGGAAGCCCAGGGGTGCTGCAAGCAGAGGATGGGGCTGGGGAGACCCCAGGGTCCGACTGGCTCAGGGTGGGGCGAGTCTGGGGAAGGTTTCTGCCTGTGGGGTGAGTCTGGGGAAGGTTGCTGCTCGTGTTTTGTCTGCCCCAAAGGGAAGCCCAGGGGTGCTGCAAGCAGAGGATGGGGCTGGGGAGACCCCAGGGTCCGACTGGCTCAGGGAGGGGAGGATTCTCCTGTTCCAAGCCATATTTGCTGCCCGAGGACTTTGCTGTCTGGGTGGAAAAGATGCTGGTAGTGGGTGCTGGTGTTGTTGGCAGCTCCTGAGAAGCTCTGCTGCTGCCTTTCCGTGGCTGCCAAATCCCAAACCAGGGGAGCTGTCTGTGTGCACTGACCGGGGAAACCTTGCTGTGAAGGGTCCTCCCCGGAGGGCTCTAGAAAAATCCCTCTTTTGCTTCTGCTTTCTGTTGGATTGTTTGTTTTTTTCCTTCTTTTTTTTCTCCTCCTTTAGAGACACTCTTTCTTTAAAACCATTCTGAACACCTGTCTCCTGTTGATTTGGTCTGTTCTTTGTTCAGTTTGGAATTCTTGGGGAAATGTTGTCAGCCTCTCACGTGCTGTAAGTTTGTTACAGTCCCAGGTGCTTTAATGTTCCCGTGCAGCATTTCAGTCTGTGTTGTGCTGTAAAATAACGGCTCCTTACTCTCCCGTGGTTTTGCTGTATTTAATTTCGCTGTATTTTTAATTAGACAACAATATATTCTCTTCTGCTGACCCTCGTGCTACTGTTCATTTCTCCCCTGTACTCGGGCAGGGGCAGAGGGGAGGGAAGCAGAGCCTGGCGTTGTTCAGAGGAGCTTTGAGCAAGCTGGGCGATGCCCAAGAGCAACGTGGGCACTGCTGAACTGCCAGTTCACTGATGTGCCAGCTGCACCCAGCTGTGGCACGGCTGTCTGGGGAGATCTGCCCCTCCCAGAGCCCCCCTTGCTCCGGGCTTGGCCGGCTGTGCCCGTGCCCTCCTTGTGGCACTGCAGGGGGGGACACTGGCGTGACTCTGCTGGCACAGGGCCGTGCCAGCCCTCGCCCTGCCCTGCCTGGCGGGCACTGAGCCAGCCCGGGAGCAGGGTGGGATGTTTCCCCGGGGAGCAGGCAGGGCTCAGAGTGCTCTGTGACACTGCAGCGTGGAGCAGAGCTGCCCCTTCCCCTTCCCTCCCATCCCTGCAGGAGGAGGAGGAGGCTGGGGCGTGACTCGGACTCGTATTTGTATTTTGGTCCCGAACTGTGTATATATATATACAATTTTCTATGTTTCTTTTTTTTTTTTTGTGGTAACTGAGATGAATATTTTAATTAGATAAGTTATATGAAAAAGAAGGAGAATCATGTCTCAATAAAAGCCAAACACTGGACTGTGGCTGCTCGTTCTTTCCTGACGCCGACAACGAATGTTAAACGCACCGTGGGGCAAATCCGCGGCTCCTCGGAGGGTCATGCTCCCGTATCCCATCCCGGTATCCTGCCCGGTATCCCGGCAGGGATGCTGCTCCCGTTCCCGCGCTGCTTGGAGCCATCCCCGTGGAAAACACCCGCGGAGCCTTTGCGGGAAAGCGGCAGCTGCGCCATGGGAGGGTCATGCTCCCGTGTCCCGGTCCGGTATCCCGGCTCGGTATCCCATCCCGGTATCCTGCCCGGTATCCCGGCAGGGATGCTGCTCCCGTTCCCGCGCTGCTTGGAGCCATCCCCGTGGAAAACACCCGCGGAGCCTTTGCGGGAAAGCGGCAGCTGCGCCATTCCCCGGGCGGGGTCGGGAGCACCGGGGGCACCGGGCAGTGCACGGGCTCAGCACGTGCAGCTCCCTGCTACGCCCACCTGGGCGTGGCCACGAGACAACAGACCATTCACCGCTTTACATGGGCGTGGCTATAAACACATGGGCGTGTCTCATTAGCGCATGCTGTGACGTCAGGGAGATGGGCGTGCCACGCGCGCGCTATGGGCGTGGCTTGGGTGACACCGGGGCGTGCCCTGATGTGCTGTGGGCGTGGTCTGAGAGACTGTGGGCGTGTCCCCGCGGCTCCATGGGCGTGGTTTGGTTGACAGGGGGCGTGTCCCCGCCGCGCAGGCGCGCTGCGGCGGCGGCGCGGCCATGGCGCACGGGCCCGGCCGGTGCCGCTGCTGCGGGGCGGAGGCGGCGGAGCGCGGCGCGGCCTGGGGGCTCTACCTGCGCATCGACCGGCAGCGCCTGCAGTGCCTCAACGAGCGCCGCGAGGGCTCCGGCGCCACCGTGTTCCGCCCCTGGGAGGAGCGCGGGGACCGCTCGCAGGTGGGGCCGGTACCGGGGCCGGTACCGGGGCCGGAGCGGGGCCCGGAGGGGATCCTGCCCCCGGCTGGGCCCGGCGGTGTGCGGGGCCGGGCCGCTCAGGGCGGGAGGAGGCCACAGAGATGGTTTGGGGTCTGGAGCATCGCCCTGGGGAGGCTGCGGGAGCGGGGCCCGGGCAGTGGGGAGGGAGGGCTGAGAGGGGACCCCACAAACCATGGAATGTCCCCAGGGGGTCAGAGGGGACCCCACAAACCATAAAATATACTAGAGGTGTCACAGGGGACCCCATAAAATATCCCCAAGGGGGTCAGAGGGGATTCTATAAATCCATAAAATGTCCCCAACAGGGGATTCCATAAATCCATAAAATATCCCCAAGGTGTAGAGGGGACCCCATAAACCATAAAATGTCCCCAAGGGGGTCAGAGGGGATTCTATAAATCCATAAAATGTCCCCAAGGGGGTCAGAGGGGATTCTATAAATCCATAAAATATCCCCAAGGGGGTCAGAGGGGATTCTATAAATCCATAAAATGTCCCCAAGGGGGTCAGAGGGGATTTTATAAATCCATAAAATATCCCCAAGGGGGTCAGAGGACGGTGCCAGGCTCTGTTCAGGGACAGGACAAGGAGCAATGGCCACAAAACAAACCACAACCAGTTCCCCCCCAGCGTGAGGGAGAACTTCTTTCCACGCGGGTGGCAGAGCCCTGGAGCAGCTGCCCCGCGTGGGGACACCCCGAACCCGCCGGGACGCGTCCCCGTGCCCGGGCTGGGACATCTGCAGGGCTTCCTTTCCCATCCTGACCGCTCTGGGGTTGTGCTCGGTGACCTGAGCCCGGCGGGGGGATCCCTGCAGCTGTGCCCCGTGTCCCCTGTGCCCCGTGTCCCCCGTGTCCCCCGTGTCCTGTGTCCCCTGTGCCCCGTGTCCCCTGTGTCCCCTGCTCTCCCCTCTCTCCCCAGTTCGTGGAAAGCGACGATGATGAGGAGCTGCTCTTCAACATCCCGTGAGTGCCGCCGGGGCTGCTCCCCTGCCCTGGGGGGCCCTGGGGGGCTCTGGGGGCCCGGGTGACCCCCCGTGTGTCCGGGCAGGTTCACGGGCAGCGTGAGGCTGAAAGGAGTGCTGGTGATGGGCGAGGACGACGGCTCGCACCCGGCCGAGCTGCGGCTGTGAGTGAGGCAGCTCCCCTCCCTGCAATTAGCTGGCCTGCTGTTAATGACTGTTAATGACTGTTAATGGCGCTGCTGGCCGCCCCGCCCGCCAGGTTCAGGAACATCCCTCACATGTCCTTCGACGACACGGCCAAGGAGGCGGAGCAGAGCTTCAGCCTGAGCCGGGATCCCCGCGGCGAGCTGGAGTACCCCACCAAGTAGGGCCGGGGCTCAGGGCGGTGCCTCAGCCCTCCCCGAGCGCGGGGCCGGGTTCGGGGTGCCGAGCCCCCCGGGGGGAGCGGCAGCGGCAGCTCTGCTCCCGGGCCGTGTCTCCCTGCAGAGTCGCACGCTTCTCCAACGTTCACCACCTCTCCATGCACTTCCCCAAGAACTTCGGGGCCGACACCACCAAGATCTGCTACATCGGCCTGCGGGGCGAGTGGGCGGAGGTGAGGGCGGGCCGGGGCCGGGGGCGGCTCCGCCCGGTGCCGCCCGGTGCCAACGCCGC